GAGCTAATAATTGGTACCTATTGTGTTGTCATTATTTGGATGATCTCTTTAAAGATTCAGTGTATTTTCCATGTCTGAATTTCATATAGCACCTGGTAAAATGTAATGGAGTTTGAAACCCTTCTTCAAATTTCAAATTAACATTTATAAGCTTTCTTCTTAATCACTAGACCTATTCCTGGGAAGTAAGAAAAATGCTTCAGGCAATATCTTTGATACAGAGAGAGGAGGATCTTTTCAAGTGTAGATCTCTTACCGCTTATGAGATAAAAGTAGGAGGGTACACATAATCTGCTAATGGCAATCAACGCCATAAACAAGAGAAAAAAATTCTAAATCTAAAAAAGATTCTGTTCCGTGGGAGAATTTTTGTGCTCTTTCACTCACTAAGTCAAAATGTCAGACTCTTAGAAAGTATCAATTATTTGGACTTCAAGAGTTCAGTCATCTAATCTGACTGGCTGCTGTCAGGAGGATAGAATTGTATTTAAAGACAGATTGGTGTGATCCTATACACATATTTTTTTTTTTTAAGTAGAAGATCATGACTGTGTCTTACACTAGTAGTAAATAATAGTGACCATTGTCAGGTTCATGCTGTGTGCTAAGAGCTTTATACATATTTCATTTAATTCTCCCATCAGCACTATGAGGTTTTACTGTTTTGATTTTATAGATAAATCACGCAGCTAATTAGACAGAGCCAGGGTTTGAATTCAAGCCTGCCTCACTACAGGCCATACTTCTTTCTCAATGAAATATTTAAAATGTTAAGAAAAATGCAGCAATTGACCTATATACCCGTATAACTATCCCTAAACGTTACTGAATTATTTGTAAGATATTGCCATACTGGCTTCAGATGTTCCTTTAAAACAAAAAGTAATAGATATAGTGGAAGCATATACTTCTTTCCTATCACAAATTTCTCCTTCCCTTCACAGAGATAACAACTATTCTGATTTAATATTTACCTTTCACAATTATGGGCTTCCCAAGTGGCACTAGCGGTAAGGAACCCACCTGCCAATGCAGGAGACTAAGAGACGCAGGTTCAATCCCTGGGTCAAGAAGATCCCCTGGAAGAGGGCATGGCAGCCCACTCCAGTACTCTTGCCTGGAGAATCCCAAGGACAGAGGAGCCTGGAGGGCTACCGTCCACGGGGTCGCACAGAGACACGACTGAAGCGCCTTAGCATACATGCATTTCAGACTTAAATGTGTGTGTCATTGCATGCATGCATGCTCAGTTGCTCAGTTATATCAGACTCTTTGTGAGCTCAGGGACTGTAGCCCGCCAGGCTCCTCTTTCCATGAAATTTTCCAAGCAAGAATACTGGAGTGGGTTGCCATTTCCTCCTCCAGGGTATCTTCTAGAATCACGGGTCGAACCCACGTCTCCTGCGTTTCCTGCACTGGCAAGTAGATTCTTCACCACTGAGCCAACTGGAAAGCCCATGTATGTTTTTACATTTGTATAAATATATATGTTATTATGCTTTTTGTGTCATCCCAGCCAACACTGCACTCCATGGTATGAATATACAGTAATATATTTATCATTGTTACATTGCTTTAGGTTGCTCCCAAGTTTTTGCTATTACAAATCATTCTACAAAGTGCATTCCTATACTAGTGTTTGAGGCAAATGTGTGAAAGTTTCCTGGGATTTAAACCTAGAGTGTTTCTTTTCCTGTTACCCTCTAATCAGGTTTCCTGCAGGCTGGGGTGAATTCCTGATTCGGTGTTGGGATATCAGAGTCCTGGATGTGAGATAGAGGTATAAGATTGAGAAGAAAAAGGGGGTTTTTAGAGGGTGTGATGTTCATAGCCCAGGTCACTTGAGAGAGGAATTTCAACACGCAACTAAGCAGTGGATCTTGGACTCAAGGAGAAAGATGCTGGTTTCTCCTTTGGCCTAATCAACTGAAAACTAATTTCAAGATGGTTGTGGGGATTTACTAAAAGACAAGGGAAATAAGCAATGGGCCAAGTGAAACAGAACAGTTGGAAGAGTGCTTTTAAAGCAAGTGTCCAGGGATCCTAGGGTTCCTATGGAGCCTCCTCAAGGCCGTCTGGGGGTGCCCCTGAGCAGAGAGCAGGGTCATCCCTTCTGATCACCTGGAGCACCTCCATTCTAAACTAGTTTCCACACTGGACTTCCCTGTAAGACTTTGTTTCAATAAATTTTTTGTAGCTAAATGTCTTTTCAAATTTGTTTAAATATTTTGGAAGACAAGTAACCAATGAGAGACCTTTACTCATAAGGTTCCACAGCTAGCTGTAGTGTATACCCCAAGATTTCTTTCCTCACTGGTGTTATTGGCAAGTACTTAAGTAGATTCTGAGTGAGTTGCATCCCGCAGTGCCAGTAGCAGTAACCCATATTTAACCCTCGTTTCTGAAGAGACACCAAATTGAAGGTATAAATAGGCTAAGCATGATAGTGATAGTACTTGGCTGACTGTTTACTGCCCTCCTAGGAGCATTTTCATGTCATGGTGACCTCAGAGAATAATAAGGACTTCAGCTACTTGGCTGCAGGGAAGAAGAGGTGCGTAGAGGCTGGAGAATCAAGCAAGACTCAGACTAAGAGAGGCCTTGTGAGCTAAGTGAGGTCATATAGGGTCCATCTGAGGGTCACACTGAGGTAGCATTAGCAGGAAGGCCAAAAGTCCACCAAAGTTCCTGCCAGACCTGGTTTCTCCTTTTTAGAGATGGATTATCTGTACATAAAAGGGAAGCCCAGGTGGTGCAGTGGTGAAAAATCTGCCGGCCAATGCAAGAGACGTGGGTTTGATCCCTGGGTCAGAAGGATCCACGGAGTGGAAAATGGCAACCTACTCCAGTATTCTTGCCTGGAAAATCCCCTAGATAGGGAAGCCTGGCATGCTATAGTCATAGGGTCTCAACAAGTCGGACACGACTGAGCACCATCCACACATCCGTATAAAAACCAAAGATTCCTCCAGAGGTCAATGTTTTAAAATGTAAAGAAAAATCCATCTTTGAGTCATAAAACATTTTAGTTAAAGGCAATCTGTAAGCAGTTGAACTCTAGTTCTTTTGAGAACCTGGGAAATCTATTGTTTTTTAAATGTTTTCTACCAGAGAAACATGCCAATGGTAAGTAACTAATATCACTGATCAATATTGACTCCAAAATACAAGCAAATAAATTTCCTCCACTTCAAATATATCTATGGTCACTTGAATGTTTTTGCTTTCTCCTAAAGATCTTTTCCCGAAAATGATGGCAAAGTTTTTTGTTTGTTTTAACTTGTCCCATCTTTCGCAACCCAGTTTAATTATTTTACAGATTTCCTTCTGAAACAAATAGGTCAGACAATGGCGGTAGTTTAGTCTCTAAGTCATGTCCTACTCTTACAACCCCATGGTTTCTCTGTCTGTGGGATTCTTCGGGCAAGAATATCAGAGTGGGTTGCCATTTCCTTCTCCAAGGTCAGACAATAATGACAGAATTTGCCATTTCAATAATCTATGTAAGAGACACCGTTAATGAACTTTGTATATCAAATTTTCCTTTGTGTATCTTTTTTCCCCCCAATGAATTCAGTACAAAGTGTTGGTAAAATAGAAGCATTAATTCAAAAGAAGTATCACCAATGTGAACACAGAACATATGAATTATAGAAAACTGTTTAGAGAAATCTGTTTTATTACGTTGAAATAGAGTACTTATTACATACTAAGCTAGAAATCAGTGCTAGTAGAAGGAAGGTAGTAAATAAAAACTTTCTAGCAAGCATCATAAGGCTTCCCTGGGGGCTCAGACAGTAAAGAATCTACCTGCAACTCAGAAGACCCAGGTTTGATCCCTGGGTCAGGAAGATCCCCTGGAGATGGGAATCTCCACCCATTCCAGTATTCTTGCCTGGAAAATTCCATGGACAGAGGAGCCTGGTGGACTACAGTCCATGGGGTCACAGAGTTGGTCACAACTAAGCCACTAACACTTTCACTTTCAAGCATCATAAAAATCATAAATTTTTTTTAATTAAGTACAAGACTCATATCATAAGAAGCTTTGTTTTCTTTAAGCTCATATTAAAATGATTAAAAATCTCATTGAAAAGTATAGCATAAGTTTATTTTTTAGAAAAGAAAGATATTCTGTGCCTGAATGAATGCAAATTTTGAATTTGTGGTGTCTGAATTAATAGATATTGAGGATATCCATTCTCTGCTAAAATCTAAAGTATTTGATTCATCATTTATTTTGTAGAAAATGATACAGCATCCTCAGCAGGATATTTTCATTGCCAGTCACAATCTTTTCTACACCTAACATTCAGCTTCTTTTCTAGACTGTGACAGATGGACAGGCAGGCCTGGCAGGATGCAGTCCACGGGGTCACAAAGAGTCGGACACAACTGAGTGACTGAACTGAACTGAACTGAACAGAACTGAATGGACCAAGGGCTTTTTCCTTTGCAGATCTGTGTTCTTTTTCTGCCATTTCCAATGCCAATGATTCTACCATTCAGGTCTTCTCTAGAAAGATAGCTCATAAGCCCTTCTAAACCAGGCCCATTCTAAAATCACCTTCATGTGAAACTGAATCCCAGTGGGTCTCCATTAGTATCAGAGCATCTCCAGAGGCATGCTCTCATAATAAAACTTTCAGAGCAATTGCCTGGTCAAGACACAAAAGACAATCAACTTACTGATTTTTAACTTTGAGGCATTCATTGCAGTGCCAAACTTTTATGTTAGAATCCTTTATTTGTATTAATCAAAATAAATTCTCTAGGTGTAAATCTGTATAAAATATCTTCCTATAAAAATCTTCTACTTTTATACCTGGGCATTAAAGAGTGTTTCCATTCCAATTTTACTTTTCCTACTCAGAAGTCCCTCTTCTTGACATTAATAATTAACCAGTAAACCAACTTACCCAAGTTCTTCAATCTCGGTTTCTTTAAAAAGGAGAGTAACTTCAGGAGGGTCATATCGATGGTTTACCACTACCTCCAGCATGGGCCTGTGGGGAATACTTTGCTTTTTAATCTTCCTGGGGAAAACTTGGGGCCAGGATCAAACGTAAGTAAAAGAAACTATCTTCATTTTTCAATGCATCTTATCAAGGTGATGAGTGAAAAATCAAATACAACAGACTGTGTTAATTTGTAAATTGCTTTCTACTTCTGGGAACACCAATAGTCTCATCTCCGAATAAGAAAATCATGCAGTATTTTGATTTGATGCATGGCTAACAATAGGACAGTTTTACAGGTTTGCCTTTTTGTGTTTTTTTTTTAACTGTAAATTTTTTTGTGTTTTTTTTTTAACTGTAAATTTTTTTGTGTTTTTTTTTTAACTGTAAATTTTGCATAGCGGTATTGCCTATTAACAATACTGGGACCATTTCAGGTGAACAGTGAAGGCTTGGCCATATATATATGTGTATTCATTCTCCCCCAAACACCCCTCCCATCCTGACTGCCACATAACTTTGAGCAGAATTCCATGTAGGAGTTTACTGGTTAACCATTTTAAATATAGCTGTGTGTATGTGTCCATTAGGGGATTGTTATTTCTAAAACTTTACATAGTGATTATTCAAATTCTTCTTCTTCAAAAAAGCACACCTAAATTCAAGATAGCAAGCTTTCTTGCGTTGATTGCTTTTGTCTATTTGGTGTAGAATTTTCTTTGTGTTTTCTGTATACTGTACATAGTAAAGCAAGAATTACTTGGGGGTCAGTTCTAATCCTGTGGTTTGAAATCTATTGATGTAATTACTTCTCAATTTGTGAGGTCGTTCTTCACAAATTACACACGATAATTTGTTGAAAATTATTATCGAAACAATTGTATTTAAAACTAGGTCTTAAAATATTGATCTCATATCTATAAATAACATCTTAGTATTGAAAAGGAGTTGGAGAGTATCTAATCAAAGCTATCTCCCATATAAGTATAAATCCAGACAGAGGAAGTAACGTGCCAAAGGTCACACCACTAAAAGAAACAGAAGTAGAATCTGTATTAAGGACTCCTCTTTATTGCTTCAGATTTTTTCCATTTTGTCATTAATGTACACATGTAAATATGTAAAATACACAATAAATGCCAATGTATACCTGAGATGTCATAAATTTTAGCACTCTCCCACCCCTAATCTGATTTTTCTCACATGGCCACCCCATTTCCTAGATTCTGTTATTCCTTCTTAAAAGACAGCCAACTGAAGTTCAGAGAGATTGGATTAAATGACTCCAGGTTAGTGGTGGAACTAGGACTAGAACCTAGGTCTCATGATACTGAATTTTTTTCTACTACACTGTACTGACCCTTAATAAGCACATTCTCTGTTTCTCTGAAAAAGTAAGAGTATACCATTTACAACATGGGAGTCAATAAATTTAATTGATTGATTCAACCAAAACTTTTTGAGAACCTGGCACTGAGGATGTATTGGGTTGGCCAAAAATTTTGTTCGGCTTCTTGGGGAAAACCTGAATGAACTTTTTGGCCAACCCAATAGTAGATGATATAGAGCGTGCATTCAAGAAGGAGAAGAAAATGACTCAATGAACAAACCAATGAATGAATGAATGAATAAGATCAGGTGGCTATTTGTACCATGAAGAAAAAATATAAAGGAAAATGAGAGGATAAAGAAATGATGGGGCACCATACAAAAGTGTAGACAGGGAAGATTCTCTATGGAGGTGACACTCGAACAGAGCTTGTAGGAAGTAACAGAGCAAATCCTGCAAATATTTGGGGAAAGAACATTCCAGATAGAGGCCAAGCTAGCATTTGTGCCTCTTTGCAAGCTCAGTGGCCATATTCTCTACAACTATTGAAAGAAAATAAGAAAAATATGAAATACTTTATATGATAGATTGTGTTAGCATTGCATCAGTAAGGATCAAAATATGTATGAGAAGATGGTTGCAGAGCTATCTTTTAGGGACTTGTAAACTTGAATTACATGAATTAGCTGAAAGTTCCTTGGACAGCAAGGAGATCAAACCAATCAATCTTAAGGTAAATCAACCCTGAATATTTACTGGAAGGACTGATGCTGAAGCTGAAGCTAGAGTATTTTGGTTATCTGATATGAACGGATGACTCATTGGCAAAGTCCCTGATGCTGGAAAGATTGAGGGCAGAAGGAAAAGAGGGCATCAAAGGCTGAGGTGGCTGGACGGCATCACCAATGCAATGAACATGAACTTGGGCAAACTCCAGGAGATGGTGAGGGACAGGGAGGCCTAGCGTACTGCAGTCCATGGGGTCACAAAGAGTCTGACATTACTGGGTGATGAACAACAAAAAGAAACATGAATTATTTTCTATTTCAACACTACTACCACATAGACAATCAAAATTAAAACAATAATAAACTGAAAAATATAAAACTTCAAATAACACCAATTAAAAAAATAACTTTTATTTCAGTTCAGTTTAATCACTCAGTCGTGTCTGACTCTTTGTGACCCCATGGACTGCAGCAGGCCAGGCCTCCCTGTCCATCACCAACTCCCAGAGTTTACTCAAACTTATGTCTACTGAGTCTGTGATGCCATCCAACCATCTCATCCTCTGTTGTCCCCTTCTCCTCCTGCCTTCAATCTTTCCCAGCATTAGCGTCTTTCTAAATCAGTCAGCTCTTTGCATCAGGTGGCCAAAGTATTGGAGTTTCAGCTTCAACATCAGTCCTTCCAATGAACACCCAGGACTGATTTCCTTTAGGATGGACTGGTTGGATCTCCTTGCAGTCCAAGGGACTCTCAAGAGTCTTCTCCAACACCACAGTTCAAAAAACATCAATTCTTTGGCTCTCATCTTTCTTTATAGTCCAACCCTCACATCCATACCTGACCACTGGAAAAACCATAGCCTTGACTAGACGGAGCTTTGTTGGCAAAGTAATGTCTCTGCTTTTTAATATGCTGTCTAGGTTGGTCATAGCTTTCCTCCCAAGGAGTAAGCATCTTTTAATTTCATGGCTGCAGTCACCACCTGCAGTGATTTTGGAGCCCAGAAAAATGAAGTCTGCCACTGTTTCCACTGTTTCCCCATCCATTTGCCTTCTCTCTCAGAACTTTCCACAGTCAACTTTTATTTTTGTATTTGTTTCTGGCTGTGCTGGATCTCTGTTGCTCCGTGGCTTTTCTCCAGCTGTGCTGAGCAAGGGCTCCTCTCCAGCTGTGATTCTCGGGCTTCCCATTGTGGCGGCTTCTCTTGCTGAGGAGCACGGGCTTTCAGGAACTCAGCCTGCAGTGGCTGTGGCTCCTGGGCTCCTGAGGCCTACAGCACAGGCTCAGTAGTTCTGGCACACAGGCTTAGCTGCTCTTTGGTGTATGGGATCTTCCTGGATCGAGCCCATGTCTCCTGCATTGGCAGGCAGATTCTTTACCACTGAGCCACCAGGGAATCCCAGGCCAAAATTAAAATAGCTCCCCCCGTCACTAAATTTCTCTTGAAAAACTCTTGATAAATTCAGTTTAGTCTAGCAAATGAAAGTGTTAATTCAGGAAACAGGTTGCTCAGGTTCAGCTCCTGATTCTGTAATTTAATAGCTGTGTGACCTTGGGCAAGTTGATTACCAGCTTCTTCCTCTGTAAAATCGGAGTAATAATAAGGTCTTTTTCATAGAATGGTTGTCACAGCACAGTGACATATATACATATATAAATACATATATGTATGTATAGTGCTTAAAATAGTGCCTAGAACTGAGTAAGGTTTCAGTAAATATATCTTATTCTCATCAAACCTGAACATTTCTAATTTTCTGCTGTTCCTGCATAAGTACATGGGAAATTGAGAGGATGGTTGGAAAACTGGAGATTCTTTTCCCCCTTTTACAATTTTTCTGTAAGTGGTTCCAAATTACTTGTCATGTAGAAGAATTACCAGTTGCTTTTAAAGTGTTTATTTGCTTCCAAATTAATTTCATTGTCATTAAAGACTTGCTGATTTTTAAAAGCCTTTTTAAATGTCATAGTGTTGTGTGCACGTGTGTGCTATGTTGCTTCGGTCCTGTCCAACTCTGTGACCCCTTGGACTGTAGCCCACCAGGCTTCTCTGTCCATGGGATTCTCTAGGCAAGAATACTGAGCGGGTCGCCATGCCCTTCTCCAAGGGATCTTCCCAGCTCAGAGATCAAACCCGCGCCTCTTACATCTGGTGCATTGGCAGGCAGGTTCTTTACTGCCAAGCCACTGGGGAAGCCCATAGTGTTGTGAGGGACCTGCAATAGTTCTGCCTGCTGCCCTCTAGCCCTAATCAGCTACTTGAATTATTCAAGCACCTTTTGGGTTGAAATGCACTTCTTTTTCTATTAATAGCATAGGTAGTTCTCAGTATTACAATTAGATACTTTTACAATATATAATTAATGACCTAGTTTGTAAGTTTTCTTTTAATAAAACTATGAAAATTCACCCATTTTAAGATTTCTATTTCAAAAACTTATATTGATTTATGTCCATTCTTGGTACATCACATAAAATATAAAACTGAGGGAACAGCCCACTGTTGGCAAACAGTTTGTAACCTTGACCTCAGTTATACACATAACAGAGAGTGAGGCCTGAATATAAAGACCTGCCTCATTCACTTATAAGCCATGTGACCTTGGTCCAGGTTAACCTCTTATCACTTGCAAAATAAGAATAATGGAGTCTACATCATTGGCCTGTTGTAAAGATTAAAAGAGTTGTATGTAAAGCCCTAATACAGCCTCTCATTTCTCATTTTTTGTTATTATCATTATGTTGTATGACTGTTATCATTTGTTCTGCAAGGACTTCCATAACTACTTTCATTTCTAAATGCATTTTCTAGCTCACTGTTATTCTATTCATTTCTTTATCCACCCACTGAAAGTGAAAGTGAAAATGAAGTCACTCAGTTGTGTCCAACTCTTTGCCACCCCATGGACTGTAGCCTACCAGGAACCTCAGTCCATGGGGTTTTCCAGGCGAGAATACTGGAGTGGGTGGCCATTTACTTCTCCAGGGGATCTTCCCAGCCCAGGGATCAAACCCAGGTTTCCCGCATTGTAGGCGGACGCTTTACTGTCTGAGCTACCAGGGAAGCCACCCACTAGGATCACATAATAGTTCTAAGATTATTTCCTTTCAACTAATTCAGCAAACTTAATGAATCATAACATTTATTGCGTACTAAGCATGCTAGATGCTTTCAGATAGATATTTTTATTTCATCCTTGCTGCTGCTGCTGCTGCTGCTAAGTCGCTTCAGTCGTGTCTGACTCTGTGCAACCCCATAGATGGCAGCCCACCAGGCTCCCGTCCCTGGGATTCTCCAGGCAAGTACTGGAGTGGGCTGCCATTTCCTTCTCCAATGCATTTCATCCTTAGCACCCTGGTAAAGAAGGTGATTGGGCTTCTGCACTGGCTCAGCGGTAAAGCATCAGCCTGCCAATGCAGGAGACGTGGGTCAGTCCCTGGTTTGGGAAGATCCCTTGGAGTAGGAGATGGCAAAACCCACCCCAGTATTCTTGCCTGGGAAATCCCATGGACAGAGGAGACTGGCGGGCTATAGTTTATGGGGTTGCAAAGAGTCAACACAATTTAGTGGCTAAACAACAAAAAAGGTAATATTTAAGGTATATTATTTAACTTTTCAGAGAGGGTTAGTGACTTTACCATGCTCACTCAGCCAGCAGATAGCAGAGCTGGAATTCAGTCTCTGGTTCCTATGTTCCTTTTTTCTGCGTCGGGCAAAAATATTGAACCTATTTATCACTTAAAGTTTTCCTTTGCTACAGAAGCTCAGGGAAGGTGCTATCACTACCTTTCTAGCGGTTAACAAAATCATCAGCTCTATTTCTGAAGTCTTAATTCCAAGCTATTTTTTCTTGGAAACTGTGCTGAAATGATTGTAGATCACAAATAAATGTTAATTTTAAAATATCACTTCAAGTTGAGAAAAAGTCCCTATTGTAAATCTAATCCATTGAGTGAGATAAAAAATCAGAAATATAACAAAAATGTCATATAAATATACTGATCCTTCTCTTTCCTATTTCAATAGGTATGTCATTTCAGCACCAAAAATATTCCGTGTTGGAGCATCTGAAAATGTTGTAATTCAAGTTTATGGATACACTGAAGAATTTGATGCAACAATCTCAATCAAAAGCTTTCCCGACAAAAAAGTTACTTACTCTTCAGGCCATGTTACTTTATCCACAGAAAATAAATTCCAAAATTCTGCTACCTTAACAGTATGTATTTATCCTTCAGTTTCTTTATACATACAGAATATTCTCAATAAAATGTGTACCCAGTTTGAATATTGATAACAGAGGTTTGATCATTTATAGCAAACTACCACTGTGTGAGTCTTAGATGATGTCAGTCACTAATGATGATATGGGTGAAACAGAAAATTCTAAATAGGAGAGTTGTATCTGCTTTTTGAGTAGTGTATGAAAACTTTAACATTCTTATTGGAAAATAAAGTTGTCCGAATGTGAACATATGGAGAAGGAAATGGCAACTCACTCTAGTGTTCTCCTGGACAGAGGGGCCTGATGGGCTACAGTCCATGGAGTTGCAAAGAGTCGGACACAACTGAGAGACTAATACTAATGTGAACATATTTGGAAATGAGTGGAAAGTACTTGTTTACTGTGAAAATTACTAATGCAAAGAAACAGACCAATATGAACACGCATATTGATCTGTCATGCATTGCCTACAAAAATCCATGGATGCTATTGAACATTTGTTTGTTTAAACTTCAATATCCTACAATCAAAACTTCTAAAACTAATAAATTATTGATTACTAAAGTGAATAGCTCTCATGTATAACCATAGTTAATAGAAAGAACAACCTGTATCAAATAAATTTTCCTTCTACTGGGATTCCCTGGTGCCTCAGACGGTAAAGAATCTGCCTGCAGTGCAGGAGACTGAAGTTCGATCCCTGGGTCGGGAAGATCCCCTGGAGAAGGGAATGGCAACCCACTCAGGTATTCTTGCCTGGAGAATTTCATGGACAGAAGAGCCTGGCGGACTTCAGTCCATGGCGTCAGAGAGAGTAGGACACGACTGAGGGATTAAGATATTGTTGCATAGTTTGGTCAGAGAATCGCTCATAATTCATTTCTTATTAAGAACTCTGATAACTAAAAATAACTTTCATACTTACTGTTTCTTTATCCAAGTGAAAAATATTGTTTTAAATTCTGATATAAATTCAAAAATAAAGAACCAAAAAATCAAAGACTTCTAGACTTGGAAGGGCCTCTGAGGCTTACTAGACCAGTGTTTCTTTAAAGTGAGTTCTTTAAAAAGAGATTAAACATTGAAATTTTATAAAGAGCTGAAAGTTAGAATTATGTTGATATTTTGAGTTTATTTTATAAATGTTTTGATTTTATAATCATACAAAAGTCATAAGCACAAGAATATTACACTGACTTTTAGGTCTGTACATATTTAACACTGTACTGAAAATATTTCTTTAGTTTGACGAATAACAAAAAGTCAACACTGAGAGTCTTCCAGAATATTTTATCCTTTTAAAGGGGGGCCTATATATTACTCAAATTTGAGAAACATCGATCTAAGTAAATTCTAACCAAGTGTAGGGCTTCTTTGCTTCGTGTCCTTGATGATAAGTGCTCTGATCTTTTAGCAAACAGGCCCACTTATTAGGTTTATGAAGAAATAAAATTCATTTCCCCAAAGAGGACACTTTTATCTGCTGCCATTAGCCACAAACATGTGGCTGTTATCTTTAAATTTAAATCAATCGAATGTAACTAATATGAAAATTTCAGTTCATCACTCATACTAGCCATGTTTCTAGTGTTTAAATAGCTACAGATGGCATGTACTGAGCAGCATAGATATAGGACATTACCCTCACCACAGAAAGCTCTATTGAACAGTGCTAACTTAGATGGCTAATTTGGAAAAGTAAATTAGGGTGGGGAAATCATAAAAATTGATGCATATCTTAAGCATTTAAATTTATCTTAACATTACAATGTATCTTTATTTGCTAATCATTTGATGTTGTGCCAAGGTCTTTTCTTGGGTCCACTTGCAGCAGCAAGCCTTATTCATAATGTGTCACACCTTTAACGAATCATTTGTTCTACAGTTTCTATTTCCTTGAAGTAGAGAAAAAACTTAGATACTTGCAAAGCAATCTGAGTGCAGAATCTTTATAGTTCTTACTACTTTTCCAAACGTTTACAGTACTGTCATAAATCTAATTCAGCATGGTTGGTTGTATTAATCAGCTTTTATCTCAAACTGGAAAGTGTACTGCTCAACCGTGGGAACAGAGGATTTAATATAATACAGTGTCCTGAACATCAGTCAGGATGTTGAACGGAGGGAATGGAGAACATGGACTAAGCCAGCTAAATGAAGACGTTAAAGCTTGTTAAGAGAGCTGTGGTTCAGATGGTGAAGAATCTGCCCACAGTGTAGGAGACCCAGGTTCAATTCCTGGGTCTGTTCTTGCCTGGAGAATCCCATGCACAGAGGAGCCTGGTGGGCTGCAGTCCATGGGGTCACAGAGAATCAGACACAACTGAGTGGCTAACACTTTCATAGTAGTAGTTTTGCTAAATGTGTATGAAATTTGGGAAGCATAGAACCAAAAAATTTTTAATTACTTAAAGCTAAATGTTGATTATGATGTTTGGTACTGAAGGGCTTGGAGCAAAATTTGTTTACTACTTTGGCTCCTATATTATTTTTTAAATAACACGTTTTATAACTTTAAAATTATTATAGTCTTTCCCATCAACATTTTATTTTACAGATACCACCCAAACAGTTGTCTGAAAGGCAAAGCTTAGTTTCACATGTGTATTTGGAAGTTATATCGAAGCATTTTTCAAAAGCAAAAAAAATACCAATAACCTACAACAATGGATTCCTCTTCATTCATACAGACAAACCTGTCTACACTCCACACCAGTCAGGTAGAGTATAAGATATTTCTTTCTCTGGGGAGTAGTGGGAAGGCATGGACACTATACTGTAGAGCTTTTTTTCTTCAAGCTTGAGCAGCTAGGTAACTGAGGATGGTATTTATTTAAACTGAACTTTGGAAGTGGGGAAGAATTATTTATTTTAAATTCTTATTTTGCATTGGAGTAAAATTGATGGACAAAGTTGCGTTAGTTTCATGCGTACAGCAAAGTGATTCATTTGTATGTATACACATATCAAATTATTTTCACTTTTAGGTTATTACAGACTACGGAGCAGAGGTCCCTGGGGTATACAATATAGGTCCTTGTCGGTTACCTAGTTAAATATAGTAGTATGAACACTACCACACTCATTTTATGAGGACCATCACTGTGACAACAAAAGCAGACAAAGATACCACAAAATAAGAAGATGACAGGCCAATATCACTGTGAGCTTTTTAACACTTGAATTTAAGTGGAGATAGGTTTCCAACTTGATCAAAAGAATCTCAATCCCTGGTGATTTTTACACTTATAAATATAATTTTAATTTTAAATTCATATGGAAATTGTTAAATAGTTGTATGGAATTTAGTTTTAAATTTAAATTTTAAATATAAATCTTAGATTCATATGGAAATCACAAAAATCAACAATTACATTATCTACCCTGTCAGTTTTCCCATGTAGGAAAAAAGCTATTTAAGAATTGTGAAATGTAGTGTTAGGTTTTATTATTAAACAAGCATTAGAGGTAACTGCAAATATAATTTTGGCAATGTGAAAATAATTCATTATAAAGTAGCAATCATAAAAACATTCTATTACTTTGGAGCTAATTCTCAAGTTCAGAAAAAAAATCAAACCCTATGGTATCAGATGTTTCAGCAAAAAGTAAGTGAAGTCACATAAATAAATGGATATTAATTTTCTAAGGCGATCCACTTAAAGAAAGTTCCTAAAAGAACACTGTTTTGTACTAGTGGTTTGTATTAGTCCTTTCAGAGGGGGAAAGGACAGGGTAGCCAATCAAGCCCCTGATTGGTGAGTGACTGGATTTACTCCCAATGAACGAAAAATGAAACACAGAGAAGTGTGAATGCTGCCCACATGTGTTCACGTATCTGCAAAATCTTCAATTCCTCCTTCACTGCCTGTTGCTGAAAGTAACTTTTGAGCAAATCAGGATGGAATTAGAACTGTAAATGGAAGGGGGAGGTTCTGGAGTTTCAGTAATGGCATTATTGGTGAAGGAAAGAAGACGAGAGGCAAGACCAGCCAGTTTTGTTGAAAACCTGTCAGGAGTATGTACTTGCTACATGTTGACTGATGCTGATGACAGTATGGAGTGGAATGGGCCTGTGCCATTGCCTTGTTAGCAGGAGTTCCTGTTATGACCAGCTCAGAGAGATTGGGGTATCGCTTCCAGCTTGGACATAATATCATTGCCAGGATAGCATCCTATTGACTCCAAGATGACTTGGTGTTCATTGAGATAGTCTCTGCCCATAAAGTTTGAGCCCTTTTTAAACATCATACCCCGAAACAAATATACTCTCACCCTTGTCCTCCTCCCATATTAGAGGATGCTTCTTTAATTGGGTCTTGTTGACACTACTTACCATTTAGGGTTCTCATCCTGTTTTTTCCCTTGTTTAATTTTTGGCTGTGGCCCGTGGCATGCAGGACCTTATTCCCTGACCAGGGGTTGAACCTGTGCCCCTTGCAATGGAAGCATACAGCCTTAACCACTGGCCCTCCAGGCAAGTCCCTAGGGTCCTCATCCTTATCCATCAAGCAGCCTGGCGCCCGGACCCTGGGGCTCCTGTTCACTCTCAAGGTTTCCCTTACGCCCCACTTGTTATTTCTTCATCAGAACTTTCCCATAAAAATGTGTGGTGTCCTCATCTTAGAGTAGAGATGAGAGATCTCTAAGATCTCTCTACGGCCCATTCTATCTTAGAATAGATCACAGAGAAATCCAGAGCACCTCCCTCTAAATTTTGACTCATTAATGAGAGGTAGTGAAATATGGTTGTGAATAGCAGGCTCTGGAGCCAAATTGTCTGGGTTCAAATCACAGTTGGGGCTCTTATTAGCCCCATGACTTTGTGTGAGTTAATCTTCCTGAGTCCCGTTTTCCTCGTCTGTATAATGGAGATAGTAATAGAACTTACCTCACAGAGTTGTTGTGAGAGTTCGGTGAATTCATGTGTATAAAGCACTGCAAACACTGCCTACCCCAGAGTAAGCACCAGGAAAGCATTTCCCATTATCATTTAATCTATGGAATAGCACAAAGCCTTATTTACACAGAAGAAAAAGAATTACTGAAAAGTAATTCTTTTAGAAATTAATTACAGCTTGCTATTTATAGCTCTAATGTCCCAGTCCTCACATTTTAATCTGAAGATCCTTGAGGGATTTTTCATGTAAGTATCTTTAGGTTAGAGGCTTAGATCTTCAAAGCTTTACAGGATAAAGGATTTCAGAATATTGACCAAAATACTTCCAATTTCACATAGCCTGTGTCCTGCCTTCCCCTCCTGCCTCATCACCCACCATTCTGCCCCTCGTCCGTGGACACCAGCCAAACTGACCTCTTTTCAGTTGCTTTCTTACGCCGTTTTCCTGTCCGTAGTAAGACCTATGGACCTCTTCCTGGCACATCCATGCACCTTCCTTGCCTTCTAAACTTCCACTCAGCTCTTCCGTGCCATCACACAGAGGGCAGCATTCTCTGCTTCAAAGCTCCCTCTGTCACCCTCAGAAAGCCGGGGAGTGTTCTCTGTAGCATTTCCCACCCCTGGAATTTTAGTTACTCGTGGGATCTTGTGTTTGCCTCTCTGCTCCACTCCTTTAGAGGAATTCCACGTCTGATTTGTCCCCATCATATCTCGGTGCCTAGCACAGTGTCTGCACATAGAAGGCATTCAATATATATTTTAAAAGTCTATAAGCTATACCTTTGGTACAAAAAGCATTTGTGGAACTTGCCTTTGATATACCATCGCTATGAAGACAAGATTAATTTTCTAACCTAGCAGAAACTGAGTTAGAAAGTGGACAAGTAGTAGCTATACAAATAATAAAAAATAAAATAAAAATAATAAGCATTTATTGGTTAGTTATTATGTGCTGGGTTATGCAAAGCTTTGTGTCATTTAGTCTGACGTGCTATGAAGCAGATACTAACAGTGCTATGTTACAGATGTGGGACCTAAGGGGTAAGAGGGATTAAGTATCCTGTTCTGGGTCACATTAGAAAGTGACAGAGATAGGAATGAAACCAAAGTTTTAAATGCTGGGCCCAAACTCTCAACTTTTGCGGCACACTGCCTCCGGCAGCATCCGCAAGTGCTGATCCACAAGCATCCCTGAGTGAGGCTCAGGGCTGGACCAGGTGTGTTCATAAGGCAGGAGGGAGGACTCGAGCTGAGAGACGGAGGTGAGGGGACAGCAGGGTAGAGGGGTTTACTGAGCATTTCGTTTTGATCTTATGGTCTCAGTGAAATGAATTTTAGAGAGCTTAATATGTGGCTTCTTAGGTAGAGCTTTGCATAATACCGGCCCTTTAAAAGGTTTATGACGTCAGTTCAATTTTATTTTGTGGTTAAAGTTTTGCCCATGAAATGATTTGAGCATCAGAGAAACCCTAGAGAAATTATGTCATTGGAAGGAATTAAATCAGCATGTCTCAAGCAGCTAAGAGTCAAAAGCTAAGCAGATGTATTTGTTTAAAAGGTGGGCATCTATTCCCTGACAGAAAGAAGTGGAAGAGAACTAATTGTTATTGAGCCCCCTGCCGTTATTCTTTTAACAATGAACGAATAATTGTAGGATCTGGCTCAATAAATATAAAAAAACTGTACAATTCAAAACTATCCTTAGCAATAATAAGAGACAATTTGGGGCCTTGTTGTAAGAGTGTATAGTCTGAAACAAAACACCTAATTTTTCATTAAAATCTTCAATTCTGAGACAATTTATTATACCCCCAATGTAACCAATCCAGTATTCTTGGGCTTCCCCTGGTGGCTCACGTAGTAAAGAATCTGACTGCAATGCAGGAGACCTGGGTTCGATCCCAGGTTGGGTTGGAAAGATCCCGTGGAGAAGCACATGGCAACCTGCTCCAGTACTCTTGCCTGGAGAATCCACATGGACAGAGGAGCCTGATGGGCTACAGGCTATGGGGTTGCAGGAGCTGGACATGACTGAGTGACTAAGCTCAATATAACATAGGGTAGACATCACTATTTTACTACTATGAAATTTTTTATAAATATTGGCCTAATTACAGATATAACTAATTTTGTACTATATATTCGTTCCCCAAAAGATATATGCAAATACATTTTAATAAAGTGAACTATTCTTTAAATTCATTTGAAGTAGCTCTTTAAAGGAATCCAAAAGGATTCTCTTTAAAACAAAAAATTTTTAGTGATGTGCTAGGAAAGATTGAAGGTAGGAGGAGAAGGGGACGACAGAGGATGAGATGGTCCGATGGCATCACCTTCTCGACGGACACGAGTGTGAGCAAACTCCATGAGTTGGTGATGGACAGGGAAGCCTGGCGTGCTGCAGTCCGTGGGGTTGGAAAAAGTCAAACACGACTGAGTGACTGAACTGAACTGAACTGAACTGAAAAGGATTCTCAATAAAGGAAAACATTTTTAGTGATGTATTTGTCTACAAGCTAACATTTTCTTTCTTTTAAATACGAATTATCATATATGATTATGTACTGAATCTTTAAGATGAGGCTCATCTCTTTTAAGGATGATTATTGCAATATCAAAATACTGTGCTTCACAAAGTTATTGATGATATCAATTATTCTTACAGTAAAGGTTAGAGTTTATTCACTGAATGATGACCTGAAGCCAGCCAGAAGAGAAACTGTCTTAACTTTCATAGTAAGTATGTTTATTTAAATAATTTTATAGAAAAATTTTAAACTTATTTAAATTTTCATTAGGACAAGATACTTTGTTCCATCACCCTGTCCTGACACCATACTAATTTATCCAATGTTCAGAAATGGTTATTAAACACCTTCTGTGTGTATAACATTGTAGGTTTATTCCCTTTGCAATATGTAAAAATCTCATGAAAATGAAAGTCTCAACAAGTTATGGTTTTGAACCAAGTCATTTAAATACATCCTTCATGATACATTTCTTAAAGACCACCCCTCAATCACTAAGAATTCAACTTAGTGAATTAATCCATCGATTCAACTAAGAATTAGTTGAATGTCTATTAGGTATGATATTTTTGATCTGCACAATACAAGGTAAAGAATTACAGCCTGTGGCACTTACACTTGAGGAGCTTAGAGCTTACTGACTAGCACACACTAGCACGTGGAAAATAGTTCTAATCCCATGAGATAAAGATCAACAATTATCAGCGTGTCATGAGCCATGATGGACATAACAGATGTGTGCAATAAATTCTCGTGGTCTTCCCAGTTCACGTCAAAACCCTACAAATTTTTGTGAGGAATTAGCTGCTCACCCATTAACAGTAGGTCCCTCACTGCAGGTTGCAGCACGTTTCTACTCAAGGAACCAAAAAACCAAAAATCTTAACAGAACACGAGTGAAAAAGAGGGCTGTATAGGAATAACCTTGAATCCTTTATAACTTACTAAAATTATGAAACTTTCATAAACTTTCATATCTGACTATTTTATAATGAATTATTTGAGAAGCATTAGTGTGTTTCAAGATTGTGGTTGATAATTATTGACATAACCTGTAGACTTACAAAATTTCTTGCTAATAAATGAATTTCACAGCATATTTGCTTTGGAATGTTCCAAATGAACACATACAAAATTTAGATTCCTTTATCTGTAAAGTGTGTAAGCTATTATTTGGTTCATTATAACATCAGTTTTTGTCATAGTTATTTTTTTTAGCCATACAATAGAGAGTTGAATCTCTTCTAGATAATTGAGGCTAGGATACCCTGGACACTGATTTACTTTTGTTTTTTTTTTTAGTGAGGCAGGAGATGGAAGAAAGTCAAAAAAGGAGGAAATGGCTTACATGAGCCATATTTGCCTTTCACAACATTTAAATGGTTTTCCTCCTTCATATTTAATTTGAAGACGTGGATTTTTGTTAGTAAATATTTCTATCAATCAAAGACAACGTAATCAGTTAGTTTTTAAAATGTGATTTATATGCTTGGAAATTGTCTGTTTTTATTCAAAGGATCCCGAAGAATCAGAAGTTTACATGGTCGAAGAAAATGATTATACTGGAATTATTTCTTTTCCTGACTTCAAGATTCCATCTAATCCTAAGTATTTTAAAGTTTTGTTTTTTTTTTTTTAATTAATTTATTTTTTTTTTATCACAACCATAGTGTATCTTTTTTTTTTTTTTTTTTTTTACATGTATTCCCCATCCCGGTCCCCCCTCCCACCTCTCTCTCCACCCAATCCCTCTGGGTCTTCCCAGTGCACCAGGCCCGAGCACTTGTCTCATGCACCCAACCTGTGTTTTGTTTTTTTAAATAAAGTTTTCTGTAAGGCATACATCTGGAACGTTTGGTTATGAGGTAGATAACCAGTCAAATAGAGCCACCTAGTGTTAACAGAAAGTAAGTGTAAAAGAAATTAAGATCTGCAAAGTCTTTCCCATCTAATGAGAATCGAGGCTCAGCTTCTGGCAAAACAAACAAACCACTCCCAATACTTCTCACCAATCTTCTTTACATGTAGAAATTCAAATTTGGAAGAACAAAAAAATAGTTCCCAGGCCTTTTTTTCTCTATCAAAACCATCAACCTTCCAACCTTCAAGGAATCTAAAAGGAATCTAAAATCTGTCAGTCTAAAAGGCTGGTGTTGTCCCATGTCTTGCTATGACCAATAAAAATATTTGTCTCCTGAGGTCTTTACTGCATAGACTACCAGAAGACAGATTTCAAGAGGGAAGATCTTAGTAAAGTCATTTCCTCCATTTGGTCTCATGCTAAAGGATTAAGAACATGTTTAAACAGAACCCAATGTGATAAAAATTTAGTGAACACATTCCTGGAAAATCCAAAGTACAACGGGAATGAGAAATTTAAAATAGAAGTAAAAAATACATAGTCGCTGCCTCCAATGAACTTAAAGGAGGACGAATAAGTGCATATAAAAATGACTGCAATATCACTTTAAAATCTTCTTACGGTCATTTTTGCTCTGCCCTCTAGAAGGGAGTTCATAGTTTATTCACTGTACTGAAGATCTAGAAATTTGGATGAAATTGAGGGATTTACATAATTTGGGCAATTTTAAAATTGTGTACCTCCTTGAAGATATTCCATAATAGCAAAGAATTGATCCAATTATTGTATAACTATTATCATTTCTCCAACTTCATCTTATGCCAAGTGGTAGATTATGCCGGATTATGTATCAGCCATGATAGCCTCCCATGACCATTTCTTTCCTACCCCAGTACTTTTTCACAGGTTTCCCCTCTGCTTAAAATGTGCTTCACCTTACTGTTCACAAAGCTGGCTTCCTCTCATTCTTTAGGACGTGGGTAAATGCTCTCTTTTCAAAGAGGCTATCTTGGATGCACGTCGAATGTAGTCCCTCTCTTCCTTTTTCTTTTCTCTCTCCTTTTAATTTCTTCTTTTCTTCATGGCACTTATCTCAGTTTTGTAAGTAATTGTTTATTTATTTACTTGCCTTTACTCCCCACTAGACTATAAATTTCTTGAGGACAGGGGTCTTGTCTGTATTGGCCACTTTTGTATCACTAACACCTCAACATAACAGGCACATTTCATGACTTCCATAATTTTAAATATTTTGCTTCCACAGATACGGTGTGTGGACCATTCGAGCTAAATATAAAGAAGACTTTTCAACAACTGGAACCGCATATTTTGAAATTAAAGAATATGGTAATTTCTGATGATTAAAAGTTTACCTATATAGAGTTACCATTTTTGCAATAAATCTTTTCACGAATGAACTTAATGCAAAATCACTCCCAGATGAAGATGAGGCTGCTTGCTGTTATGGTTAGAAATACTGATTGAGGCAGTGGGAGGAGTGGGCCTTGTCTGAATGCCTAAGCGCTGGGTGTAGCTGCCCTGTTAACCTTGAACATGCGCACCAACCCTCTGGACTTGTCTTCCTCATCATAGAGCTCCAAGAGACCTAGCCCCCTGAGGAGCTTGACTGGTTCAGGTCCTTTCCAGAATTAGGATTTTAGGAGAAACTATCAGAGTTGAGGTGAACGGAACATGGTAAGACTAACAGGTGACTTACTCACTTCATCACAACCCATTAGTGACAAAACAGGAACATTTGCATTTCCTTACACCTATTTTCCTTCTGACCCAGAATTTCCTAATACATTGATCCAAAAATATCAGATGTTCTTAGTGAACATCTTTACTTTGAAACATCAACATTACTTTGAAATCAATCATATTAATGGATTAATAATTAACATATAAACCGCTTAACCTTTCCATTTCTTGTAGTTGTTTACTAGAGTATTTGTGTGCTCTGATATAAAATTTAACTTTGTTTTGCTTGAAGTCATTTTTTAATTCCCCCAATAGAATCATAATAATGTGGTGAATAAACAGTGACAAAACAAATTTACTATAATGAAGCTCAACTTTAAAGATTATAGGCTCTAAATAACATATAATCCTAACTGGTCCCCTTTCCTCTAGGCGTTTTTGCTGCTTCTTGCACATATCTAAAATTTATCCACCTCTTATTATCCGCAGCCTCGCTTCGATTTTATCACCAGGCTCCCTCATGGACTACTGCAAACCCACCCTCAACCCCCAGTTGTTATCTCTGCTTTGGAGCTATTCTTGCCATCATGTTATTTCATTATTGAAGTCCCCAGTGCCTCCTCATTCCCATCTCCTCCTCTGCCTCATTTATACCACTCCAGTAATGGTGACTTTGCATGTGATCTGCCTACAACCCCCTCTCCCTCCCTCTCACCTAGCCAACTCCTACTCACCTTCAAGTCTCGGTTGAAAAGCCATTTATTCAGTGACGTTTTCCCTAAATTCTCTTTCCTGGGAAGGACTACCTGTAGTCACTTATAAATATCAGCTTTCATAACGGTCTTAAGTGTTTGTGTAATTCTTTGCTTATGCTTGTCTTCCCTGCTCGACTGTGAACTCATTGAGGGCAGGGTTTGTCTGTCGTGTTCACTGGTGTATCCCTGTTGGTAGGAGCGTGCAGGCTACAAGGCAAGTAGGTCCTGGATGAAAGGATGAAATATTTTCCTCTACTTCATATCTTGGAGAGAACGTATCTGCCTTGATCTTTAATAACATAGGAATGCAGCCCAGAGCAACAGATTGCATTGCTCTTTGACTTGTGTTTTCTCCCACATTGTAGGCAGATTCTTTACAGTTTGTGTTACCTGGGAAGATCCTTTCACTATCTAGAAAACATACAAACCGTATCTGACCCCATCTCACGTACTCTCATGTGACAGTCTTTACCTACAGTATCAAGGTCATACAATCACCCAATTTCTGTTAAGTGTTGGGCAGGTTAATAGAATCTGTAAGCCTTACTAACCAGGCCGTGTTAAAACAAAGAGAAGACAGTGCTATTTTGGACAACTGAAATTGTTTTCTCTTGGGCAATCAAGATACCAAAGAGACAGGAGAAAAAACCCTCCTTCCTTTCTGCCCTAATTTTTAATTTTGCATAAAGCTTCTTTCTTGTAGCTAATTGTAAGCTCTCGCTTATTGACTAAAGTGAGAGTTTTATGTTGGAATTTGGAGACTGGATGAATTTTATCTATTAGGCAAAAAAGAGAAATGTTAAACAAGCAAGAAATTTCTGTTTCCATTTTCAATTTAGTAAACCTTTGTTGAGCACGTACTATATTTGTGGCTCATGAGAAGGGTGAGGGGGGAGACTTGCAAAAATAAAGAAAATAGTCTTTTTTTGTTTCAAGGAGCCCATCCTCTAGGGGAGGAAGTAGTCGATTGCCTATAAGTGCTGAAATCAAAGTATAAGTAAAGTTTTTCTAGCACGTAGTGTATGAACTAACCTCTGATTGGTAGAACAGGAGGCTTCCCAGAGATCCTGTTGATGATGATAGTAATGACAAGGTGGATGCTGTGTTGATGTCACAGCTTATCCAACTATGCCAGAAATACAGTTGGTTGCTATGCTTTAAAGACTACTCTAATTCAAATGGTAATGTTGCTTCTTTGCTTTTATTTTCAGTGTTGCCACATTTTTCTATCTCAATAGAACCAGAAAGTAATTTCATTGGTTATAAGGACTTTACTAGTTTTGAAATTACTATAAGAGCAAGGTAAGAAAGTTTTTTGTTTTATTTTGTTTTCAGACTTTTCAGTTAAACTGAGTGCTAAGTTTGGTAACATTTGCCCAAAGTGAGATCTTTGATTTTTACCCCCAGTTTTATTGAGATAAAATTGACATATGACATTGGGAAAGTTTAAGGTGTACTGTGTGGTGAGTTGATACATTTATGTATCGCTGAGATCTGTGATTTAGTGGCAATGTCTGGCATGACTTTGAAACTACCTGACTGTGAAGACATCACGCCTATAGTGTATTTGCTCATACTGATTTTAGCTGATTCCGATTTTAGCCTGGTTGATTATTCATCAACCAAAAAAAAAAAAATCCTAAAACTGTAAGTTCAGTGTGTATGTTTAGGAAGCAGCATGCCTTAGGATACTGGGACTGAGATGTAAAGCTTTAACTTCTTATCATTTGTAATGGCTTCATCAGCCAGCTAATGCTGCATAACTACTTTGGGACGCAGTGCCTTAAAACCGCAACTATTTATGAGTCAGCTGGGCAGTTCTGCTACCTGGGCCAGGCTGATGTCAGTGGGGCTCACCCATGTGCCTGCAGTCAGTTGGCAGGTCAGCTGGGGGCTGGCTGGTCTAGGGAGGTCTTACTCAGATGCCTGACAGTTAACTGGCAGTTGACTGAAGCTCCAAGGATTACTGAACCATGTGTGTTTCTCATCAACCAACTGGCTAGCTTGTAGCAGCAGCAATGCTCAAAGAGAGAAAATGGGAGCATAAAAGTCCTTTTGAGGTTTACACTTTGGGACTAACACACAATCACTTCCACCACATTCTTTTGTCCAAAGCAAATTACAGCACCAGCCTGAAGGAAACAGACTCTCTTCACACCCTTTGCATGCAAAGAGCTGCAAAGGCAGTAGACACATGGGGAGGTGGAGAATTGGGATTATTTTTATAAGCAATCTACCATTTAAAAATGACCTAATATAATTATTAAAAATAATAACCTATTTATATAGCTATATATGTCAGGCACTTTTCAAAGCATTCTGTATGTATTAGCTCATTTAATCTTTACAAAACTCTATGTGATACATACAATTACTATCCCCACATTACAAACAGAAAAACAAATATACATAAATGTTAAGTAATTTGCCCAAGATCATATAGCTAATAAATCACATAGTCTCTCTTGTTCCAGAACCCATGCCCTCAAATGCTACCATATACTGCCTCTCTTACTAGCATTTATTTATTCCTCAAATAGAGTGTTGGTCACTTAATCTAAGCCACTGTAAAAGGCTTACTTGACAGAGAAGTGTAGAAATGGACTTCTTTTAACAGAGAGACTTACTTTTTTTGTTCAAACTACGAATAACAAAAGATCTTGCTATCATGTTTGCTACACAGAAAGTTTTCTTTATCATTATGTTAATTCTAAACTAAAAAAGGAAATATGTAGTTAGAGTTTTCAAAAAAACCCTTATATAACTGTGAGACTGGGCATGCTGCTTTAAAAGATGTAAAAGAAATTAAGAGCAGTTCTCCACTGTTATCAAAATCATTGAGGAAGTGATATGTTTTGTAAGAAAGAGGCCCAGACCTGACTCTTGATCTCCTCAAGATCATTTTATTTCATCTAGCACATAGTAATAAAAATCTGTACTTTGGCTTTATTATGGTGGCTTTATGAGGATGAAATGTGATAGTGGATGGAAAGGCACTTTAAAGTATTTCAAATGCTTTATGATTTTAAATTGTTATATTTTGTCTGGATTTTATTATTGTAACCGTGATAGCAGAACAATTTTATGGTATGATTGTTTGACAGATATTTTTATAATAAAGTCGTCAATGAGGCTGACGTTTATATCTCTTTTGGAATAAGAGACAACTTAAAAGATAATCAAAAAGAAATGATGCAAAAAGCAATGCAAAGCACAACGGTAAGAGGTTCGCTTGTACCTAAAAATCCCTCATGAATGCTAGAGATGGAAAGTCACTTCTGTATCATCTAGTCCACTGTATTGTTTCATGTAGGTGTGGAAATTGAAGCTTAAAAACCTTCCATTGACTTCTCACTATCCTGAGGATAAAGTTCAGTTCCCTTGCCATCAACCCCCCTGCCAGCCCATCTCTCCCTTTCTTCTCCCTTGCACTGGTCAGCACAGTTTTTCAAACCCACCCGTCTCTCTGGCCTCCAGGTGTTTGCAGAGCTGCTCCTTCCGCTAGGGAACGCTTTCCCTTTGTCACCTCCTGCCTCTTCTCAGTGGAGCGTGTTTCACACTTTATGTTGCAGTGGTTTTCAACCAAGGGTGATTTTTTAACCCCAGGGAGACATTTGTGGTTGTCACGACTAGGCAAGAGGGTCACACGCGCATTTAGTGGGTTGAGTCCAGGGATGTTGTGAAACTCCTTCAGAGCAGCGGTACCGCCTGCTCTGAATTACCCTGCTCTGCAAAGAATTACCCTGTCCAAAAAGTCAAGAGAGCTGAGGTTGAACAACCATTACAATTAGTAATGCTTTATTTACTTTTTTATCGTTCTCTACACAAAACTCTTTGGGGGTCTGAATCATTCCCTCTATATGCCTAGAGCCAGCCTGGTTGCTGGCAAAAAGGAGGTGCTCTATGAAAATTTGTAAGTGAATGAATGAACGGTGGACTCACTGAGAAGTTATCGGCCCGTAGTTAAGGACTAGTGCTCGCTAGAGCTCAGAGGGGTGCCCTGCTGCCCTTCCCCAGGTCAGTGTCCTCTGCATCTATCCTCTGGGTGGGAAGGGCTCATGTCATTTTCTTCACCACTGCACTCACAGAGCTTGTATCATCAGTTAGTTAGCCCTTGCTCTTTCAAAGTACAGTTTTATTTAAGATGTAAGTGCCTTTTTTTTAATGCAAGATTCTATGTTAAACACTGAGATTTAAAGCTACATAAGACAAAAATCCCTGGCCTCAAAGTACTCAATTTTGGAAGAAAAAATAAGGCAAAATATGTTTTACTGTTGTGGTTAATAATTAAATAATATCATATGCTTCGCTGGTGCTCAGACAGTAAAAAATCCGACTGGGGTTCAACCTCTGGGTCGGGAAGATCCCCTGGAGAAGGAATGGCAACCCACTCCAGTATTCTTGCCTGGAGAATGCTGTGGACAGAGGACCCTGGCAGGCTACTGCCTGTGGGGTGGCAGAGTCAGACCCGCCTAAGTGTTAAGATTTCGTAGGTAACCCTGTATCCCATTACCTACCGTGCATTTTTAAATTAGTGTCTTAATGCGCAAGCAGTAAAGGACAGAGTGAATATCATAAAATCCCATAAACTCTCAGTTAAGAGCGAGAGTAGGCTGAGAGGCCTAGAGAGATGACGATGACTCAGTGATGGGGAGAAGTCATCTTTGCCAGCTAGTACAAAAAAGACCTGTGGAACCAAAGGATGTTTAAGATTCCTCCACATCTATAATTCTAAACAAATAGATCAGAAGCTAACACTCTGGGCTTAACTGTGGACTCAGTTACTCGCTTTAGTGGTGATGGTAAAGCTTTCCTCTTTGTCTTTGGTTGAGAGGCTAGTGAAGGCACATTTTATTCATTTTTTCTTATAAATTCTTCTCTGAAATAACTTACTTATTTTTCCCCTTTAAAAAGTTGATAAACGGAATGGCTCAAGTCACATTTAACTCTGAAACAGCAGTTAAAGAATTGTCCTATGAAAGTCTAGAAGATTTAAATGACAAGTACCTCTATATTGGTGTGACAATCATAGAGTCTACAGGTAAGTTTGTTTTTCCCTCTTAAACTTTCTCTTGGCAAATATTTGTTGTTGTTTAGTTGCTAAGTCATGTCTGACTCTTTTGCAACTCCATGGACTGTAGCCCACCAGGCTCTTCTGTCCATGGAATTTTCCAGGCAAGAATACTGGAGTGGGTTGCCATTTCCTTTTCCAGGGGGCCTTCCTGACCCAGGGATGGAACCTGCATCTCCTGTGTCTCCTGCCTTGGCAGGCAGATTCTTTACCACTGAGCCACCAGAGAAGATCCCCCTGGAGGAGGGCATGGCAGCCCACTCCAGTGTTCTTGCCTGGAGAACCCCATGGACAGAGGAGCCTGGTGGGCTACAGTCCACGGAGTCACAAAGAATTGGACACGACTGAAGCGACCTAGCATGCGCCAGAGAAGGGACCTTCCCTTGGGAAATATTCAGACAGCATATTAGAGGTGTAAATAATCACTACATTCTTTCACATTTTACTTCCTTTCATAGTTAAATTTTATTTTTGCATCATTAAAACTGGGATTGGAGTGTAGCTTTGTCACTCCCTAGTCACTGCGTCTCTACTGTCTCAATGGCGAGAAGGGATAACGCCCAACCATTTAACAGTCCCTCTGGCTCACAGCCTGTCTGGCTTGAACATCTGGCACCTCAGTTTTCTCACCCAAGAGGAAATCAAAATCAAAGAGATTATGTGTGCAAAGACATTTGGTGAAGCACCATGCAAATCAAAGTTACTGCTACTACCACTGTTTCATCCACTTAGCTGTATACTGATGGAGTTGAACAAAGTACATCATAAAGCCCTTTTCTTCTGGAATAGTAACTCTATCCAAAACTGCAGGTAATGTTTCTAAAATGGATCCAATGATAGTATATACCTCTCAGTGTCACGGTGGGAATAAAAGAGTCAGTATCCGCAGCACCACCTCTTCTCCCGTTCTCCTGTCCTCCCCTCCTCTTCACTCCTCCTCCCCTCCTGGTTCTCCTCCCTCTCCTCCCCGTCCTCCCCCTCGTCTTCCCCCTTCTTCCTCTCCTCCTCACCACCTAATTTTTTTCTTAGCATTCTTAATATCTTATCTAGTACTCTTAACCCTCACTCCAATGGTTTTAATAGTTCTTAATTATTACTCCCAGTTGGATTACTTTGTCTTACTTCTGATATATCTTGATTACTAACGTACCTTATATTTGCAGGTCTATATTGAACCCCCAATCAACCATGAACAAATAATTTAACCACACTAAGTCCATTTTTTTTTTCAATAAATTGACTGTCTCACTAGAAGATTCCTAAGTCTCCTTCTACCTCTTTAAATTTGTCCTTCTAGGGTAGCAGAATGAACAACTGAGGTAATTACAGAGTTATTAAGCACTTTGTATACATCAGATGCTCAATAGATGCAGGAGAATGATGATGACTTTAGACTCCCTGCCCTCTCTATATTTTTGACATTGTTTTAATGTTTCTTTCTTAATGTTATTTTTCTCAATTTATTTAAAATAAATTCAGTTTAGGCAATATTTATTAGATATGCAAAGAGTGCTGCCAAATATGCAAGCTTACAAATGTTAATGATGCATAATTTCAGTACTCAAGTGGCTTAAAAACACGCATCAGCTTTAAGACAAATAAACAAAGAACTCTTTGACAAGAAGGGATTTCATGTGTGCTCTAAGCAAAGTGCTTAATGCTACTGGCCTTCAGAAGAAGATGAGCTCCTAGCTGATTGCTGAGCAACCAACAAAGATGTCCTGAAGATAATTGGTCTAGTCTTGAAAGACTAGTAGGGTTTTGAGGAAGGGCGACAGGCAGGGTGAAGTGGGGCACTCTTCGGAGAGGGGACACATCAAGGGTGGCCTTGAGAATAGTAGATTATTCTGTTGGCTGAAGTGTAGGATATGCATGTAGGGGTGCATATGTGCAAGCCAAGTCACTGCAGTCATGTCCAACACCGTGGGGCCCCATGCACTGAAACCCATCAGGCTCCTCTGTCCATGGGGTTCTCAAGGCAAGAATACTGGAGTAGGTTGCCGTGCCCTCCTCCAGGGGCTCTTCCTGACCCTGGCTTGAAACCATGTCTCTTACGTCTCCTGCATTTGCGGGCGGGTTCTTTACCACTAGCACCACCCGGGAAGCCCGTATGTGGGAGGACCAGGGATATAATCCTGGAAAGAAGTTAGGGATACTCGAGCTCTGTATATTATTCTTGTAACTTCTTATACATAAGTTTTAGCTAAAGGGTAACACTATTGGGTCTTGCCAGTAGACCCTCTGGGTTTTCTCTACCTCAAGATCTTTTTTTATGTTTTCTCCAATTCTCTCCATATCCCTGCTCCCTAAAGATGACCTCCCTGTAAGGCTTAGTCTCTGGCCGACCCTTTCTTCTCTCCTTAATGCGTTCTATGTATTTAAATGAAATTCAAGCAGCTGGCGAAAAGTGATGTCCCCACTTCAAATGTCTCCTCAGTCCGATCCTATTGCTCTACTTCCAGAAGGGCCATCTCTACGCATAAGCCTTGAGCACAAAGCTTTGGAAACTCCTGAAAAGGGTTTAAACTCTTCTCTGCACTGCCCCTCTGAACCAAGACCCATGTCCTACTTGCTGTTGGTAAACGAATGAGTGCAGGAATGGAGTGAATGAATGAAGGAATGAGTGGGTCTGTGGAGACACATGGAGACAAACACAGCTCCCCACACAGATCAGTACACTTCTAATAGATTTTTGTTATTTCTTTAGGTGGATTTTCTGAAGAAGCAGAAATCCCTGGCATCAAATATGTCCTTTCTCCCTACAAATTGAATTTGGTTGCTACTCCTCTTTTTGTGAAGCCTGGGATTCCATATTCTGTCAAGGTTAGATTGGGGGTGGGGGGTACTGCTGAATGTGATTATCTTTCTCTAAAAATATGGGAGGATGATAATGGAGAGGCAAAGCACAGAGGGAACCCAATCTGTGAGTGGAATCTCTCTCTCTGACAATGCAGTCAGCAGTGGGAACTGCTGACCAGCTTCTTTCTCGGGAATAATATCAAACCTTAGGACAGTATCAGTATTTAGTAAGATAGCCTGTGTTAGACATTCCCTAAATGAGCCTTACATTAACAATATATATTATAAATAAAATTCCATATGTCTATGGTTCAAAAAATACTAACATTTAAAATTATTTGACAACATGTTCTTAAAAAGTCTTAAGACAGAGATATCATCTCTTGAAAATAAACCCCTTTCTCTCTTTTTTTATTTCCTATGTGTCTGAGGGTGCGTTTCTGCGCTCTTCACTCTGCCTTCTCTTTGTACACGACTCTGTCTGATCTCATCTCTCTGCATTGTTCTCTGTCCTTTCCATCTCGACACTTTTCTGTCGGTCCCTGACTCTTTTCTCTCTGGTTTTTGTTTTTTTTTCTCCTTTTCAATATTTTCTCTCCTTCTTCCTCTTTTCCTTTTTAAAATGTTGATAGTACGGAGCTAAAACATTTATCTGACCTTGTTATTATATTTTATTGTATTTAGTATTCTATATCTGATCATATATTATATAAAACATACTCTATTACATATACTGTGTTTTATTATATTTATAAAATGAAAAATTTTATTCCCTATCCTTTAGAAAGCTGTAGATCACTGGCTTTTAAGAGAAAAAGATTTACCAGACCCCAAGCAACCTTTGCACATGCTAATAACCTCTTAATACATATACAACATATATAATAATATATAACATGTTACTATATAATGCATATAATAATTTATAATTTATTATAGAGTATATTAATATAATATGTACAAAAGATCATAAAATATGTCACTATATAGAATATATTTATTATTTTTAAATGTCTATATATTTATATATATTGTATTTGTCTTTATATAAAATATATTTATATTCTATATGTCTTTATATATTTCATATCACATATAAAAATAAATAATGTAAAATATACCTTTGTGGAAATTCTATATGAATTTAGCATATGCATGGCAATGAGAGGTAAAATTTAAGGAGAAAAAAAAATGTATTTGTTTCTCATGGGGCTTCTCTGGTAGTGCAGCTGGTAAAGACTCTTCCTGTAATGCAGGAGACCCCAGTTTGATTCCTGGGTGGGGAAGATCCCCTGGAGAAGGGCATGCAACTCACTCCAGTATTCTTGCCTGGAGAAACCCCACGGACAGAGGAGCCTGGTGGGCCACAGTCCATGGGGTTGCAAAGAGTTGGACACAACTGAGTGACTAAGCCCTATACTATTGTTTCTCATATCTAAGAGATTAATTCCCAGACGTGATTGCTTCATTTTCTCTTTCATCTAGTTTTCAACCAATTGAAGAAACACAGAAATTAAATAACAGAAGACCTTATCTCATCTACTTGGCAGGCCTAATACAATATTTATATTCTGAGTCTTCTTGATATACAGGGGAATCCATTCAAGAATGATTTAACTAAATAAGATTAGACCCTTTTAATATAAGATGAGAATATGCTTCTCTTTACTGAATTGAATATGAATAATTTATACATTGGTGAGGAGAAAGGAAAATTATTTCAGAACTGTTTTGCTTTAAAAGAAGTGATGAGCTGTGGAAATGAATTTGGACTGTTCTGGCAAACAGGTGCAAGTTAAGGATTCATTTGACCATTTGGTAGGAGGGATACCGGTGACCCTGAGTGCAAAAACGCTCGATGTGAACCAAGAGACATCTGACTTGGAGTCAAAGAAAAGTGTAACACGTTCCAGTGATGGAGTAGCTTCTTTTGTGGTGAATCTCCCATCTGAAGTGACGGTGCTGGAGTTTAATGTAAGCTGAATTCTCCTGTTAAATTTTCTAGGACAATGTGTACTTTTGACTGTGTGTTTTGGCCAGTGTGCAGAAAAAAATGTGGTAGATTTTAGACATGAGTCCAGCGAACAGTTCCACAATTTTGCAACCAAAGGGGGGAAAAAAAGCACCAGAGTCAATCTGCAAATTAATTGAATGGTCCTTTAGGAAGATAAATGTACCAGTTTTTTATTTGGGGTGAATTATTTTCTCTTGCATTAGTAAGACTGTATTAAAATCTAAAAGCACGAAATAGGAATAACAGTGAAAATTAGTGATAGAAAGTCTCTCTTTCCCACGTCACAACTTTTATCTCTTTTCAGGGCCACAAAGGAGTCAAATGTGGAAGCCTCTCTTTTTTTTCTAGCTGTATGAATCACTCTACCTGAAAATTCACTTAATAGTCTTCTCTCCCAGCAAATAATATTTAGGTTCCCAACTCCAGATAAAAAATAACTTAATAATGTGTGTCAATGACCCCAACATGCACAGATTCACTGTCATCTACTCAGCCCTTACGAAGTGCTAGACATCATACTAGAGCTTTACGTAGAACACATTCAATACCCATGTAGTCAGCTCTCTGAATTAGAGAATATTATCTTTGCCATTTTGCTGCTGAGGAAACAGAGGCTTTTGACCTCTCTTGTGGTTAAATAGCTTACCCAGACTTACTGAACGCCGGCACTTGAATGCAAACCAATGTATATCTCACCCCAGATATCAACCCCTCTGGGGTCAAAGGCCGACGTCACTGCCATGATCGCACTCCTGCTCCACTCTGTTTGTAAGCCATTGTCTGTGCCACGACTTCACAGTGAAACGGGCCAGAAAGTCTGGGTGACGTCCATTCACAACTCCTGTCCCCATCCTCAGGACCTCCCCACTGCTACCCCTGTAACCCGTAAGAAAAGAGTGCCCAGCTTACCATGACACTCAAGGATGCCCATGTTTGTTCCATGAGCATCATTCTGTTTTCACTTCACTGGCCCTTCCCACCATAACCCACAGTCCTATATTATCCCAGTTATTGTCCATAGCCTTTGTAGAGTTATTTGATACCACAGCTGTACAATCACATTGGAGTAGTGGATTTCTTTTTCTTTAGCAATTGGTGGTGTGAAATTTAGAAATGTATAAAGCAAAGAAAGGAATTTAAAAGGTATGTTTCACAGAAAACATACCTTTTTTACATCACAGTCCATGCATCTTTGTTTAACTTTTTTTTCCTTTTCAGGTCAAGACCAACGATCCAGATCTTCCCGACGAAAATCAGGCCAGTAAAGATTACCGAGCAATAGCGTATTCATCTCTCAGCCAAAGTTACCTTTATATTGACTGGACAGAAAACTATAAACATTTGCTTGTGGGAGAACATCTGAATATTGTTGTTAAACCCAGAAGCCCATATATTGACAAAATAACTCACTACAATTACTTGGTAAGTATAATAATGATAGATTTACCTGATTTTCCTTTGCTTACAGAGAAGTGTTAGAATGATCCCTTACATATGTTCTTACAAAACATTTCCAAGAACATCACCTAATTGAATAATCAGTTTTTCAAAAGCCTTTGAGACAGGGCATAATTTTCATAACTCTTTCACAGAAGAGGACTGAGGGGCAAAAGACTTAGGACTCACCACAGTCATTCGACTTAAAGAGAAAGGTTGTGATTAGAACTGGGAACCTCTGATTCTCCGTGTGACACGCCTTTCCCAAAGAGAGCCTGATTCCTCCACAGAGAGTGCCTGATTAAATTCTCACATTACCTCTGCTCTGCTTCATGGCCAAAGATTACATACCTAGACCCATTTAAAATATGTGCATTTCACTGTAATACAGGAGGGACCCAAATCCTGCTCTTAAGGGGTGAGTCATTTCAAACCTGCTCCAGGAATATCCCTATTACATCACTTACATTAAACAGAGGTGTCAGTCAAGGCTGTCAGTGAAAGCTAGGAAAGAATGTACAAAAAATGTTATAGGCATCCTGACAATTACCAAAGAAATGGGATTAATTATTTTGATGTTCAGGCCAAATAAGTGATGATGACTTTATTTCAACAGTTTTAAGGAAAAAATTTAAATGACATTTAGTTAGTTCCTGAACTTCAGTCCCTTCATCTGCACAATGAAGATAGTATTCCCATCCTTCTGGTTATCATGGAAACTAAAAGAGTTAATTGAACATGAAGTTCCTGGCACATAGTCGGCCCTTGCAATGTTAACTTTCTTTTTCTTTAACATAATTTCTACTCCCACTCCCGAGTGCTATCCTAAAGCACAGGTTATGTTTTTGTAATTACCATTTCTGCTGCTGTTTATTTTTAGGTTTTATCCAAGGGCAAAATTGTTCACTTTGGTACAAGGGATAAACTTTCAGATTCAGCTTATCAAAGTATAAACATTCCAGTGACACAGAACATGGTTCCTTCAGCTCGTCTCCTGGTCTATTACATCGTTACAGGAGAGCAGACTGCAGAATTAGTGTCCGATTCAGTCTGGTTAAATATTGAGGAAAAGTGTGGCAACCAGCTCGAGGTAAGGCACAAATTGTAAGTCCCAATCAGATTTTCTCCTGAATAAAGGGGCTGTAAATGCAGCTATCTGTGAAGTTTTGTCATACAAATGATTATTTTCTTTTCCAAATGACTTTTAGGTTCATCTGTCTCCAAGTACAGATACATATTCCCCTGGCCAACGGGTATCTCTTAATATGGAAACTGAGTTGGATTCCTGGGTAGCTTTAACAGCAGTGGATAGTGCTATATATGGAGTGCAAAGAACAGCCAAGAGACCCCTGGAAAGAGTTAAGTGGTGTGTGGCTTCGGTTACTGGGGTGGCCCTATGCAGTGCGTCACAAATGGGGGCCCTTAGGGTAAGTTGTGGGGAAAGAATTAAATGAAGACTAGACTTGCTTTTCTACTGACGCAATCTTCTCAGAACAGGGGCTCTTAGGAAGGTAAGCCATCCTCACGTTAGTCTCCAAAGCCCAGGTCTATCCTTTTTTACTTTTCCAAGTATGGAGTCAAGCGCTTTACAAATGCGTGATCGTGATGGTAGTGTCATTCACGGGGTCAGAGTACCACCGGTTGGTAGGGTTTGGAGATTTGGGAGCAGGGGGCTTTAGAGCAGCAGCACCAGAGAAGAATGAATAGGCAGCCTCTGGGGGTTTTTGGCTTTTGTTTCCTTTTTTTACCCATTAAAATCTATGGCCCAGAAGAATCTGAAAATTATTCATTTCCTCTGAAAGTGAAAGGGAAAATTGCTTAGTTGCGTCTGACTCTTTGAGACCCCGTGGACTATACAGCCCATGGAATTCTCCAGGACAGAATACTGGAGTGGGTGGTGGCCTTTTCCTTCTCCAAGGGATCTTCCCAACCCAGAGATTGAACCCAGGTCTCCTGCATTGCAGGCGAATTCTTTACCAGCTAAGCCACAAGGAAAGCATAAGAATGCTGGAGTGGGTAGCCTATCCTTTCCCCAGGGGATCTTCCCAGCCCAGGAATTGAACCAGGGTCTACTGCATTGCAGGTGTATTCTTTTCCTCTAAGTTCCCATTTACCTCCCCTATGTGAAGTGAAAGTTGTTCAGTCGTGTCCGACTCTTTGCCACCCCATGGACTATATAGTCCTCAGAATTCTCCAGACCAGAATACTGGAGTGGGTAGCTTTTCCCTTGTCCAGGGGATCTTCCCAACCCAGGGATCGAACCCAGGTCTCCTGCATTGCAGATGGATTCTTTACCAGCTGAGCCACAAGGGAAGCACTTACCTCCCCTATACTCTGCTACTATTTTCTAGACTTGAATTACTTTGAAGAAGGAAGAAAGAACTGAGAAACCATTAAGTTAAAAATATTCAGAAAGGAAAAATTATTTGGAGTCAAAATTAAAACTGGGAAGAGCCTCCCCCCAAACAAATTCTCATCTACTTAGAACCTAGCGCCCTCTTCCCCAAAATACGAGAGATTGTGCTATTTTTTTTTCTTTCAGCGATTTAAAAACTAGCTTATTAATTCACTTATTCATACATTCACTCATTTATTCTTTTTTGGACATTATATTGATTACAGTATGCAGTCTATGTACAAAACAGCATGGGTTGATTTTGAAGCATCATCTTATCAAAGCTTAAAACTTAGTTTTTGATTTAATTTTGAATAGGTATGTATTTTTAAAAACAAAAGAACAAACTAAAGGAAGGAAGTTTTGAAATTCGGTCTTTGGCCGTTTGATAAATGATAGGCCTGTGCATTTCACAGATTTGTTAGAATCAGGTAACAATTTGTACCTTTAGTTTTTCAGAGGAATGATTTCCATATCTGATTAGGCTTACTATTTTGCCTTTTAGGAATTGTGCTAAGAATTATTAAATTAACTAAGTACCTCTGAACAGGTATTTCAAACTTTAGAGAAGAGTGACCTGGGCTGTGGGGCAGGCGGTGGCCGAGACAATGCAGACGTATTCTACCTAGCTGGACTCACTTTCCTCACCAACGCAAATGCAGATAACACCCAAGAAAATGGTAAAACACACAGCTTTGTGTTTATTCTTCAAACTGATTACTGAAATTTACGTGAACAATTTGCCTCCCAGACTTCGTTGTTGTCCCTCCTCCAGAATAATTCACTACACTGATCTTACGGCAACATGACTAGGTAACTCCTCTGTAAAAAAGGTTTCATTAACCTTCAACATGAAGTCCAAATTTTTTTCTGTGATACTCCAGGCCCTCCGTGATTTTCTCCCCGGCTCTTCGCAGCTGTTTCTCATCCCACTGTACGTAACCTATGTTATGCCGTAGAGAACCAGGTGTAGTTGTGGATGGCACTAGCCTATTTTACATCTCTGACTTCTCCTTACTAGGACTGCTTTCCCTTTTATTAACCTGCAGAAGCTAGTGGAAGAATCATCTCCTCTATGCAACCTCTTCCTCATGTAAAATCGATCATCTCCTCTCCTTTGACCGGGGACTGCTACAGGGACTAGATCTGTTTGTGAGTGATTTAATAGAAGTACATCATGCAGAGCCTTAAACTCCACGGCCCATCTTGTTTCAGTGGCTGCACTGGGGCCTCTTTAAGGGCAAGGGCCACATCTTAACTGTTTTCTTTCTGCGGCTTTAAAACTGTTCGTAATTATACTTGATACTATTATTTATAATAATATAAGCACAGAAAATAATTAAAATAGCATACCTAGCAAAAACTTGGCTCACTCCTAAGGGCTTAGGTATTTCTCTGTAATCAGTGGATCAAAAAGGTTATAGGGTCTAAAACCAAACTCAGATCAAACAAGTCAAACTGTCTAACAACAGATTGTGAGCCCTCCAAACACAAGTCACACTGAGAAGTGTAGTGTGCAGAGCTTGGTCAGAAGTAGGCTCTCAATATTTGTTGAATGAATTACGTGAATGTCTTTTAAAAAATACTTTCATGGAATTTTGTGGTTTTTGAGATTTTATCTCCTTTCCCCCTCCTTTTTTTCTTTATCTTTTTAAAACAGATGAACCTTGTGAGGAAATTCTCAGGCCAAAGAGAATGCTGAAAAAGAAGATAGAGGAAGAAGGTACTATAAAAGTTTCATGTGATTGTCAAAAGTTTATGATCATGTAATTAAAAAGCTGGAGAAAACTAAACATCATCTAATTTCTCCTCGTTCAGATGAATGGGTGAAAAGGAAGCTATATACAGACATCTAGCTCATCTCCCTTGGAAAGATTCATCTAAACAGATCCAATAGTTCATTTGCCATAACCTTAATCTAAGGGAAATAAGTCTGTGTTATTTCTATCTCTAAAATACAACAGATTAACTTTTATTTGTTACAAATATTTCTTCTCTGCAAACTTCATCTAGTGACTAAGATTACATTCTTCCATTTTATTCTAACAAAATCCATGGTTTAATTAACTTCAAGATATACCTAGATGTCTATCTCTTCTTGCATACATTAAATACTTCAGAACAAGTTGGATTATTAGCAGGAATAAGCCCAATAGAAATTGTTCTTAAGTAGTGTTTAAACAGAGGTATGCTAATTGACAATGATACAATAGAAAGAGCATTGAACTAGCAGTCGGTGACCTCAGCTCAACTGAGAAGGTTTATAGTGATACAATGATGCTTCGCATTTACATAAGAGTCATTTTAATTCTGGCTTTCATTCTGAGCTTTAAGGATAACAGAAGAGAGATATCGGTTCATCCAAGCATTCATGATGAAGGATGATGCCACTGGTGAAGGCGTACAAACTGCAAGAAATGTTTGAAAAAAATAGGACGTTTAGCTTAAAGAAGAACATACTTGTATAGTGATAACTATCTTCAAATATTCTGCAGACTTTTCAGACTAACTTATTTTATTCAAAAGGGTGCTGAATCCAAGGTGTTCATTTCAAAAACCAGTACTTAGGTTAGTTACAGGAGGCCCATAAACATTTAGTGCGAATCAGGAGGGACAGTGGACTACTTTATGAGGCCACACTGTTCCCATTCCTATGGTAGTTCCAAAAGGAGGCTTGGCTGTCCACCAGCCGTGACTATTGTGGGGCAGGGGTCCTGTGGCAGCAGAAACCTGGTATCCCTCTAGAGCCCTTCTAAGCATGAGATGCCTTGACTCTATGAATAATCAAGGTCATTTGAATTATGATCATTTCAGCTGCTAAATACAAACACATAATGGTGAAGAAATGTTGTTATGATGGAGCCCATCGGAATGATGATGAAAACTGTGAGCAGCGAGCCGCTCGGATTACGATAGGCCCAAGATGTGTCAAAGCTTTCAAGGAATGTTGTGCCATCGCAAGCCAGTTCCGGGCTGAAGAGCCTCGCAAAAATATCCAACTAGGAAGGCTACGTAAGTTTGACATTTTCTGTCGGAAAATATGGAAAATTTGATGTAACTTTATGCTGCCAAAAAAGGTGGTTTTCATGCTCTATTTAAAATGGAAAGTAGAAAAGAGAACTTATAAATGCTCTTAAGAAAAAAAATTGTTGTCACTTTTGGGAATCAGAAGAGGTAAGCATAGTATAGAGCAGAATGCTCTAGTCCGTAGTCAAGACCCAGGCAAGTCTAAAGCTGACTCATTCTATAAACATGAATGATTTTTCATCCTCTCTGAGCCTCACTCTCCTCATTTTTAAAGCAAGAAACTTGGGCCAGATGATACCTAATATGCCTTTGAGTTCTAAAATTTCATGATTCTGTGATATTACAACCATTAAAATCCTGTTTGGACCTATACTGACCAAATATAGCAAAAGATTTCAAAGTGTAGCGTAAAGTTAAATGTACTTACTTAAAAGTTGAAATCTTATTTCAATTGAAACCACCATATACATTTTCAGAATTAACAGGTTTTCAGAACTTTTAGGACTTTCGATTCATTCATATACAGTCAAAACAAACAAAAACAGAATGATAGATCCTGTTTGATTGTTTTGCTTAACAGTATGTCTTAAATGTTATCGTTCCGAGTGGATATATTTCTGCAGAAATAGATTCCTGTGGCCGTTTGTTGAAACCAAGTCATTAGATATATTTAGGTTGTTTTCAGATTTTTGCTTATTACATGCAGTATTTTTTATGAATAATCTAGTACATGTCCATTTCTCATGGTCCAGTTTTTCAACTCTAATCATCGGGTTGACATCAGTTGCCTGGAATTCAGCCTCTCCAGTTCCCTCCTCTTTGTTCCTTGTTCTAGACAGCTTAGCTTCCCAAATATCGTGCCTGGTGTTGCAACTCTGCCAGGGTCTGTACGGGTTTCTCTCCCTGCTCTGAAGCCTGTAAACTGCCTCCAGACAGTAAATCTGGATAATTTTGGGGTTTACCTAATCTGACTCCCTTCCCTGAGGGATCACTGATCTGGCTCACTTATGCTCTAATATCTGAAAGCAAGCTATTGTGTCTAGTTTTCTAGTTTTTTTAAGGCAGAGAAGTAACTCTAGTCCCTATCAGAACATCTTGGACATAAGCAGACATTCTGCTCATTTTATTAAAGGAAATATAAATAAAAGTCTGCGGTAAGGCAAAGAATCACATTAACTTCCCTATTTTATAAAATAATAACAATTATTGCAATTTTTAAAATGTAAATAACTTTTTAAAAATTTACTTATTTATTTATTTGGCTGCATTGGGTCTTAGTTGTAGCATACGGGATCTAGTTCCCTGACCAGGGATCAAACCCAGGTCCCCTTCATTGGGAGCTCAGAGTCATAGCCACTGGACCACTAGGAAAATCCCTGCAATAGATAGGGATAGGCTTTATAGACTAATTAGTATTTTGTATAATTTTCAGGACATGAAACATTTAGCAATTTAGGAAAAAAGTTATTAAATAAATTTTTATGCTGTATTCATTTTGTCAGTGCTACTAGTGGAGAAATTCTAAGGCCTTTATTGTTCTGTTTTGAAATTGCTAAACAAAATGTTTCATTGACCTTTCAGAAAATGCTTAAGCTATTGATTAATGTCTACATTTAAAAATTCAGCCCTAGGTAGAATTTTTGTTGTTTTTCCATAATCATATATACTTTCCCCCCCAGATATAAAGTCTCTTTTACCAGTAACCAAACCAGAAATAAGAAGCTATTTTCCAGAAAGCTGGTTATGGGAAGTTCATCATGTCCCCAAAAGGTATTATATTTCTTTGACATTCCTCTGAAAAATATGGGAAAATATGACCAAAAATCTGGAAGCTACCCATTTCCCAACAGTTTATTTAGGAGTTAAAATCATACCACCACTGGGTCAAATTTTATTTTACTTTTTTTTTTTTTTAACATGTGATTTGCTCTGAGAATTAGTTCCATGGCAAGATCAACTCTTGGGGAAGAAGGGTACTATTCCATTCAACTTCATTCCATTTCAGTGAGTCTTTGCTGATCACAACTGTGTTCTTTATGCTGTATCACACAGCTGTTTTCATCCTGAAATACCTGTCACTACAAAGCAAACATTGACTAATAGGGAGAAAGTGTCTTTTCTTGTTAAAGTCCTTATTCAACACATGTTTATGGAGTGCCTACTCTGTATCAGGCACTGAAAACAGTGCTACTTCCCTGCATGTCACCCTTCCTCAGGTTGGCCAAGAGTGGGGATGGACAGGATCTCAAAGCACAGACTTTCCAAGGAGCAGTCAAGGCAGTGAGTTCAGGGCCTGACATCCAACTTCTTCTGGGTCCCCTGTTCTCTACCCCTGTCCCACCCGATTCCTCCTCCACAGTGCTGTCCGCTTCATCTGACATTGCCCCTTGGCTTGCATTTCCCTTCATAAGCCTTTCTCCCACGATTCCCCCACCTAGTGATTGGACGTATTACCCCTTCAACGAACCCTGTTACACATATCATGCAGTATATATAACAAGGTCCTATTTACCCAACTATCTATCACATTAAAATGTAAATACATCCAGAGCAAGGACTAAATTCAGACCAGTTTTATATCCAATCCCTGGCATAGGGTCCAGCTGGCAGAGGCACTAAAACAAATGTGTTGAATCAGTGCACACTGCCTCTGAACTTTTTTTGTTTTATTGGTACAATTTATTTACTGAACATAGACTGTGAACTGCTTGAGAGCAGAGCTGTATCAATGAGTGCTGTATACTCAGTATTCAGTAGTGCTATCCTTGACACGAAGTTGGTGCACAATAGTTGTTTGTTGAATGAGTACAAGCTTGATCTTCATCAGAAATTTTTAGTTATGTCAGCTTTGTTATGAGCAGTTTTAAGATACATTAGTATTTTGCTTCCCTATTTTAGAACACACTATACAATAAATAGCCCATGGGGTCACAAAAGAGTCAGACACGACTTAGCAACTAAACAACATGATAAACATATTTTTTTCTTTGAACTGTATGTTTTGAGTTTGCAGTCTTTCAAAGGTATCCTTCCAAATGTGAATTCTCATCATACCAGTAAAATATGTAAATTATGGAACGAATATAAGAGTTACTGGATATATTTTTCTTGCTTGATTTCTCCTTAATACCTGATGTGATTTTTTTTTCTTTCTTCTAAAGTAGTATGAGGCAAAAATTCTTCACGTCAATTTTGGTTAGTAAATGTCCCATTGTATTTGAATATCAACATTTTAACTTTCAGAAACCAACTGCAGTTTGTGCTACCTGATTCTCTAACTACCTGGGAAATTCAAGGTGTTGGAATTTCAAATAGTGGTAAGCAAATTGAAGTTATATATTTACGTAAGGAGTGATTTGATTTGGCAAAATGTGGGTTTTTTAAAAATTACTGTCTTTTTAGTTTATCCAGAACTTAAGTGGTGTCATTTATTAAAGTCTATTTATAATGTATTACAAAGAGACTTAGATAAGCTCACATCTTGGACTGCATCAGTTTCCTCTTTTGTTCTTCTATTAGTCATCATTTTATAAACACTGATGTGAAGCCCCCATTTTTCTTGTTTTATTCTCAGTGACTAGAAGATTGAGTAGAGTTAGAGACAAACACATGATTTCTCTCCTGGACCAGCCCCCTTTGTGGTGATTTAGTGCAGATACTTTATAAGTAACTTCAGACCTGGCTTGTTGGTTTGCTTGCTATTTTGTGTTCTTATAAATCTTGGCTTCCACAGCCAAAATTTTATGCCTGTTAAATGGAAACTATAATGAGTATCTAAAAAAGAGATTTGGTGCTTTAGTTAGTAATCATTCTCACTCCTTAAATAGAATTAAATATTTTTTTGATAAACGCAGTTTTCTGTTAATACCAGTAATTATTGAACGAAGATCAATGATATAAGAATAGACCTTAAACTTTCTCACCACAAGAAAAACATTGTGTAGTACATATGGTGGTGGATGTTAACTAGACTTATTGTGGTGATCATTTACAATGTATACAAATATCAAATCACTATGTTATACATCTGAAGCTACTATAATGTTATATGCCAATTATAGCTCAGTTTTAAAAAATCAGTGCATAGAAAATTCAAGGAAAATTCCATAGGGGTAATAGGGCAGAGGAAAAACATGATCTAGCATTCATTTTTCCTTGAAGCAAAGCAAATCTGAGACATTTTAGTACTAATAAAGTATTATGGGAATTCCCTAATTTACTTCAACTTTGCTTTTACTTGGGCTGAAGGTATATGTGTTGCTAATACTCTGAAAGCAAAGGTGTTCAAAAGCGTCTTCCTGGAAATGAATATACCATATTCTGTTGTACGAGGGGAACAGATCCAACTGAGTGGAACTGTTTACAACTATAGAACATCTGGAATTCAGGTAAGTAAATATTTATAGTATGTTCAAATAAATGGGAAAAAATGAAGATGTCCCTAGTCTTCTGAGAATTCTATTAATGGAATTACCATGTACACAAAAAATAAAAACTCAGTGAAGGGAGGAAGAAAAGTTAAAATTATTCATACAATTCCCATTAATGAAGAACACGAGTCCTTAAGATAACCGGCATGCTGTGCAGGCTCACGTTTGGTTCATCCGTCACCCTGGACTTTGAGTTTCCTGATTTTGCCTCCAGCAGCCCTTTCCTGTCTTCTTTCGGCCATTCACACTCTTCACTTTGCACATCTTGCCTTGCCCTTGGAAAACTTTGTTCCAAACATCTCACCTACGGACCACAACCTCCTACCTGTCCTTCTGACTCTGAACTTTCATACTTTGTGGCTACAGTTCTACAGCAACATCATTGCTGAAACCTCCAACTCACTGACGTCACTACTTTTTATTCTTCATTAGCCCTCTCATGCTAAAGCCCTCACTTCACTGCTCACTCGGGTTAGAATGCGTAAGCCATCGCTGTGATCTCACTGGTTAAGCACATGCCAGCTCCCTTGACCCTCTCTTGCTCTGGGTACACCCTGTGAAAGCTCCAACCTTGGTCAGATCTACCAGTTGTCTTCTTTTTGCCAACACATTTCTAAACAGAATTACGCACTAGGCTGACTGATTTCACTTGAAAAATAACAGTCACAAGACCTATACAGGAATGCAATGCAGTCTGAAAATCTGACTCTATTAAAAAAAAAAGCTGTGATTTCATTCTTAATCATAAGTATTCCAGTGGTCTCCAAAAATTTTGCTTATACCTCCCTAAATTTTTTTTGGAAAAAAATGTACCCCATTGGCACATTTTTAAATTGGCGTCTAAAATTTTTCATCATAAATTCAAATATGCAAATCTATAACTTTGGAAACACCAAAGTGTTGATATTTTAAAAATAAAACTGTTATATCAAACTTTTATAGAGCAGAACCTAAATACATGTTTGTTATATGTTTTATTATGTTAATATTTTGTATTATGTTATATGTTTTAAGCTTGAATGTTTTCTCTCAAGTAATCATAATCTGATACAACAAAAATATGTACATACACTGAAATTGAATTATTTTAAGTTTTTTTATTATAAGATTCTAAGTGTCAAGTAATTGCTTACTGATTTAGTTAAAAATGTATTCAGGTTTTGATAGGTATTATCCTGAATTTGGGCTTCCCAAGTGGTGCTAGAGGTAAAGAACTTGCCTGCCAGTGCAGGAGACTTAAGAGACTCAGGTTCGATCTCTGAGTTAGAAAGATCCCCTGGAGGAGGGCATGGCAACCCACTCCAGTATTCTTGTGTGGAGCATCCCATGGAGAGAGGAGCCTGGCCAGCTACCATCCACAGGATCACAAAGAGTTGGACACAACTGAAACGACTTGGCAGGCGCATCCTGAATTTAGAAATTACTGTAAGGGAAACTGATGCCGGGAAAGACTCTGATGCTGGGAAAGATTGAAGGCAGGAGGAGAAGGGGATGGCAGAGGATGAGATGGTTGGATGGCATCACCAACTCGATGGACATGAATTTGAGCAAGCTCCGAGAGTTGGTGATGGACAGGGAAGCCTGGCCTGCTGTGGTTCATTGGGTCACAAAGAATCAGACACAACTGAGTGACTGAACTGACTGTAAGGGAAACTGACCTGCTTACAACATTGAGTCTTTTACATCTCTTCATTCTTTTGCTTCATGTGCTAGGTCAGGGGTCAGCAATCTATGGCCTGTGGGCCAAAACTGGCCTGCTCCCTCCTCTATGGCGGATAAGCGAAGAGTGTTTTTCACATCTCTAAAAGTTTGGGGGGAGGGGGCGGTGGGAGGTAAACGAAGGATATTTCATGGCACATCAGAATTACATGAAATTCAAATTTCAGTGTCCATGAATAAAGTTTAAAGCTGCACTCATCTGTGCGTATTATCCATAGCAGAGTTTAGTAAATGTGTCATAGACCTATGTGGTACTTTCATTGCACTGCACTACTGCTCAAAGAATAGCGTGAACTGCAATGACATAATTACAACTAGACAGTATTTTAAGTGTCACACATCTCATGGTATTGCCATATTTTATTTAATTTTAAATTGTCAGTGTATTCATCGTTACATCAAAACAAGAAACAAGAACATCCACGATATCTTGGATTAATCACTGGTTAATCACCTTTCTACTTGTGTGCAGATCACACTTCCCTATTTTTTCACATCTAGTAACTTTGCATTGACCCTTGGGCTTTTTTCAGTTCATGTCAGTCGAGTCACTCAGTCATGTCTTACTCTTTGCGACCCCATGAACTGCAGCACGTCAGGCCTCCCTGTCCATCACCAACTCCCGAGTTTCCTCAAACTCATGTCCATTGAGTCGGTGATGGCATCCAACCATCTCATCCGCTGTCATTCCCTTCTCCTCCTGCCTTCAATCTTTCCCAGCATCAAGGTATTTTCCAATGAGTCAGCTCTTCGCATCAGGTGGCCAAAGTATTGGAGTTTCAGCTTCAGCGTCAGTCCTTCCAATGAACACTCAGGACTGATCTCCTTTAGGATGGATTGGTTGGATCTCCTTGCAGTCCAAGGGACTCTCAAGAGTCTTCTCCAACACCACAGTTCAAAAGCATCAGTTCTTTGGCACTCAGCTTTCTTTATAGTCCAACTCTCACATGCATACATGACCACTAGAAAAACCATAGCTTTGACTAGGTGGACCTTTGTTGGTAAAGTAATGTCTCTGCTTTTTAATATGCTGTCTAGGTGGGTCATAGCTTTTCTTCCAAGGACTAAGCGTCTTTTAATTTCATGGCTGCAGTCACCATCTGCAGTGATTGTGGAGCCCAAGAAAATAAAGTCTCTCACTGTTTCCATTGTTTCGCCATCTATTTGCCATGAGGTGATGGGACCGGATGCCATGACCTTAGTTTTCTGAATGTTGAGTTTTAAGCCAACATTTTCTCTCTCTCACTTTCATCAAGAGGCTCTTTAGTTCTTCTTCATTTTCTGCCATAAGTGTGGTGTCATCTGTGTTTCTGAGGTTACTGATATTTCTCCCAGCAATCTTGATTCTATCTTGTGCTTCATCCAGTCCAGCATTTCTCATGACAAGCAGGGTGACAAGAAAAATCCTTGACATACTTCTTCCCTGATTTGGAACCAGTCTGTTGTTCCATGTCCAGTTCTAACTGTTGACTGTTGACTCTTGACCTGCAGACAGATTTCTAAGGAGGCAGGTCAGGTGGTCTGGTGTTCCCATCTCTCTAAGAATTTTCCAGAGTTTGTTGTGATCCACACAGTCAAAGGCTTTGGCATAGTCAATAAAGCAGAAGTAGATGTTTTTCTGGAACTCTCTTGCTTTTTTGATGATCCAACAGATGTTGGCAATTTGATTTCTGGTTCCTCTGCCTTTTCTAAATCCAGCTTGAACATTTGGAAGTTCACAGTTCATGTACTGTTGAAGATGAGTATTCTGGCTTGGAGAATTTTGAGCATTACTTTGCTAGCATGTGAGATAAGTGCAATTGTGTGGTAGTTTGAGCATTCTTTGGCATTGCCTTTCTTTGGGATTGGAATGAAAACTGACCTTTTCCAGTCCTGTGGCCACTGCTGAGTTTTCCAAATTTGCTGGCATTTTGAGTGCAGCACTCTCATAGCATCATCTTTTGGATTTGAAAGAGCTCAACTGGAATTCCATCACCTCCACTAGCTTTGTCTGTAGTGATGCTTCCTAAGGCCCACTTGACTTCACATTCTAGGATGACTGGTTCTCGGTGAGTGATCACACCATCATGGTTATCTGGGTCATGAAGATCTTTTTTGTATAAGTTCTTCTGTGTATTCTTGCCACCTCTTCTTAATATCTTCTGTTTCTGTTAGGTCCATACCATTTCTGTCCTTTATTGTGCCCATCTTTGCATGAAATGTTCCCTTGGTATCTCTGATTTTCTTGAAGAAATCTCTAGTCTTTTCTTTCTATTGTTTTCCTCTGTTTCTTTGTGCTGCTCACTGAGGAAGGCTTTCTTATCTCTCCTTGCTGTTTGGGAACTCTGCATTCAAATGGGAATATCTTTCCTTTTCTCCTTTGCCTTTAGCCCTCAGGTTAAAACTAAAAAAGCAGGACCCTTACCCAATGTCCTTCCTTTCATCTGAGGGTCACCTTCTCTTCCAACCTCTAGTGACTTAAGATAGTTTTTTTTTTAAATACATGTTTTGTCTAGAGCTTATAATTTTATTTTTCAGAATAGTTATCTAGTAGGAACTACTTTGCTATTTCCGCGAGCAGAACCACTGCCAAAGTTTTTGTTTTTTGTTTTTGATAATTTGTATTGGTTTCAAAAGTTCTTTTCTTATCTCATTTACTAAGAGTTTTTATAATGAATTCACGTTGAATTATCAAATGTCTCTCCTTATCTATTCTTACCTACCCTTCCCATGATCTCCTGAGGGAATCATTGGCTCCAGGTGACCCTAAAGTCTTCTTTTAACTCCTGCCTCAGCCACCCTGGCTGTTGTGTTTCCCAGGAAGATAGTTAAGAGGAAAAACGAACTTGCCGTTTTTGAGAAATTCCTCAGAATTAGTTGTTGAATGTTGGTACTCATTCTTGTTTACCTCCTTGATTTATTCTGGATCATATAGATTTATTTTGGGGGGGATAGATCTGTCATTTCATTAGATTTTGGAGAGGAGATGGAAAATATTCACTATTTGAGCCAGAAGTCAGTAGGTACCATTATTCTCCCCATTACAAAGTTGAAGAAGTGGAGGGTCACGCTATGTGCTCTTGTTACACAGAAAGTGGCAGAGTCAAGGTTTGAACTTAGATCTTCCTGGAGCCACAGTCTGGCTGTATAATGAGATACAAATGGGAAGTTAATGAGAAGCAAGATTGGAAAAGCTAGTGGGAACATGTTAGTCAGGGCCTTGAATGCCAGGAGATAGAGTTTCCAGTCTTTCATAAAACCACTTATTGAACACCAAAGGCTGAGCCGTAAGATCCAAAGATGAATGAGACGCACAGCCCACCTGAGCCTGGGTTCCCACTGTCTACACTGCAAACATGTTACGAGATGGTAACAAGTGCTATCGCGACAACATGAACAGAGGACTTCAGTAGCGTTACACTCGATTTAGCAGGTAACAGTCTAAGGAAGATAAGACGTTTCTGAGCCAATGCTGAGCTTTCTGGACATCGTGGCACGTTGCTGAATGCGTGCGTGCTCAGTCATGTCTGACTTTTTGTGATCCTATGGGCTGTAATCCACCAAGCAGCAACTGGTGTGCATGTTTTAGAAAATCTGAAATGAACTTTCTCTACCGCCTTAGAATATGAGGGATTATTTGACAGGTACCGGGGAGAATCTGTGTTCAGATGAACATAGTCAGGGCTTGCTTTCCTGATCATCAAGTGTTTTGAAACCACTGTTCACTGTTGGCATTTCAGTTCTGTGTTAAAATGCGTCCTGTGGAGGGGATCTGTTCATCGGGAAGCCCAGGCATCGACCCTCAGGGGAGAAGATTCCCCAAGTGTGTGCCCCAAAGAATCGAGGGCTCCTCCAGCCACTTGGTGACCTTCACCGTGCTTCCTCTGGACACTGGCCTCCACAACATCAGCTTCTCACTGGAAACTTCGGTTGGAAATGAAATCTTAGTAAAAACACTACGAGTGGTGGTAAGAAAAATATGCTTTTTAAAAATTCTTCCATAAATACTTTTTTCTTTCTGGAAAAAAAAAGTTATCAGCAACTCATGTTTAAGTGATTCAGAAAGAGACAGAAAAAATGATAACACAAACATAATAAAATGTTAACATGTGGGGGAATCTGGGTGGCGGTTATCTCAGATATTTTTGGACTGCTGTTATAACTTTTAAGTCTGAAATTATGTTTTTAAAATTTAAATAAAACAATGATACTTGCTCACTGTAGAAAGCATGAAATATCACAAAACTACGGAGAAGAAAATTAAAATCACCAATAACCCCTACAACCAGAAATATCAAATTTTAACATTTTGGTATTTAGTTTTTTGAAATATTTTTCTCCCAATGCTTTTGGAAAATGTTTTGAAATCTGTGCCAGACATTATGCTAAGTACTGGAGCTGCAGCAATAACTAAGACAGGACTTAGGAACTTATAGTTTAGAATTTATAGTCAAGAAAATTTTCCATTTTGTAAATGAGTAAATAGGTTAAAAAAGGGGAAGAAAACTATGATTTCTTAAATTCTATCATTCTTAAGTGCTATTAACTCACATGTTTTCATGTTACTCTTGACAAGAATCTTAATGACACAACTGGGCCTTCCTAGGCCTTCATTCTCTGAGTTCTGTTTTCAGCCGTGAAATTCGCTTCAGTGAGCATACGTTGACTTATTTTGTGCAAGGCATGTTCTGTGTTCTATGCGTCTCCACATGGTGTTCCATGCACAGATTCTGGAGCCACACTGCCTGAGCTTGAATCCCGACTCCCCTACTTCCTAGCAGTGTGACATCGGATAAGCTTCTTGATCTCTCTGGCTGTCAATTTCCTCATTTGTCATGTGAGAGTAATAATAATAATACTTACTTCATAGAGTATTTTTGAGGTTAGACGAGCTAATACATACAGAGCACTTAGATCAGTTACCTGACACATATAACTTCTGTTTCAGTGTTTGCTATGATTATCATGCACATAGCCAGAAAATTTAGTTCCTGGATGTATGCATATAAGTATTAAAGCACGTTTTGCCTTCTCCAAAAATCAATAAATAAAAAAAATGTTTATTTGGAAAAGTAGTCACATGGACCCAAGCATTCAAGTCGTATAAATTTAGTTATGTTCTTAACTGGATGTTTGTTGCCTTTATTTTAGCCAGAAGGTGTCAAAAGGGAAAGTTATGCTGGTGTTACTCTGGATCCACAGGGTATCTATGGTAGGTAAAATGATTGTATTTTATATGTTGTCTTTTGCTCAAGAGAGATGTGTAACCTGAAACATTATTTTTAAAAATGTTAATTGTCTAGAATTGGAAATATCTACTTCTTAGTTTACTGTCATTTTTGATAGCATGTGTTACAATCTGGATGGGTTTAGAACAAAGAAAGACCCCATTAGTTGTGCTTTTGTTTTGTTTTTGGCCACACTTTGCTGGGTTTGGAAATATTATTTCCCCGTCTAGGGATCAAACCCAGGCAGTGAGAGTATCGACCCTCAACCACTGGACTGCCCAGGAATTCCCAAAATAACCTCATTAGTTTTAAATGCAAAACTGCTAAATAGTAACAGTAGCCTGACTTCCCTTATATATCAGTCATTTTATCCTTCACAATGATATTTTCTCATAGAACCATCAATCTAAAGAACACCTAAGAAAAAGTCATTTATAACATGCTTATTTGAAAACACAGTAATGCTGATTACGTAACCAAGCCATTCCTTGTTGTTCCTGCTTCCTTGCTTTTCCTCCAACTAAGATATTCTAAATGAAGGTTAGAATTGTGCAAGCATTTGAGCACTTAATCAAGGCCTAAATACACAGGCATTTATGAAATTTAGAATGTTCTCAGTTAACAGTTCTTTTCACCAAAGAAGACAGACTGCTGTAGTTCTTAATAAGTGGTTAAAATTTGCCTATTATTGCATTGTATCATTTTTCTTTTCTTTCAGGGATACAACAATAGGACAAAAAAAAGTTTGTTTGTTTTTTATTTTAATAAATTAAGACCACTATACTTAGAGTGATATTTCTTCTGGCAAAGCAAAAAATTAATATTTACATTTCAAATCAGCCCAAACTGAATAAGGATGACTTCATGCAAACTTCTCTAATTTTATCTCCACATAAATTTCCTTCCACCCTGTGGAGGATCTACAGGGAGAGTTGTTTCTCTGCACACCAGCCTCCTCTGGGAGAACGGAAGGTTGGAGGAGTTCTCTGAGGCCAGATTGCCAGGGACCTGCTGCCTTAGGGCCGTGCCCCGAACATTCTGAGGTTCTGGCCTCGTGCAGTCATGTCACACCTCAGAGCCACTGCTTCCCTTGTCTTCTTTTTCTCTTCACCCTTAAGCCTACCATGCTCATATTACGACAAACAGCTTTCCAAAGCAGCCCTGCCTTACGCATCCTAGGTATGAACCTGAGGACCACAAGATGGCAGTGATCTTTTATCTGGGAACAGATCTCTCCATCAAACATCTTGGTTAAAAAAAAGAATCCATACCTCTTTCCAGTCTCATCCTGTGCCTTTTTTCCCTTGTTATTTTAGACATCTTAGATTCAGGCAGCTTTGTTACTTTCCAGAGTGCTAAAAAGGGTAAAGATGACTATCAGTTCTTCCCAGTTTATTTCAAAGATTTTATTAAACACTTCTAATCTGTATATATTGGACTTGCTATACAAGTATGATACTTTATGGGCTTCCCTGGTGGTTCAGCAGTGAAGAATTCACCTGCAATATGGGAGATGCAGGGGACACGAGTTCATTCCCTGGGTTGGGGAGATCCCCTGGAGGAGAGAATGGCAACCTACTCCAGTATTCTTGCCTGGAGAATCCCAGGGACAGAGGGGCCTGGTGGGCTACAGTCCACAGGGTTGCACAGACACAACTAAAGACAACTCGACTAAGGTGACTGAGCTCACATGTACACATGATACTTTATAGAGGTGTTTTTTTTTTTTAAGGCTAAAAAACGTTTGGAAAAGTAAACAGACAATAACGGTAGAGGAAATCTGAGGGAAATCCCAATGAGAGAGAATGAAGTATCGAAACAAATTGTAGAGTAGTAGTAATTAAAATTATGCTACATCAGCATAACACAGAAACTGAAAACACGAGACTAGCCTAGCCTTTGGTTCCTGCTTTCTCTGCCTGACAGGCTCTCTCCCCGGTTCTTATCTTGGATGCAGAGTTTAGCTCTTCAACCCCCTCAATTCCCAGCACATTGTCGTCATCGGTCTGCACAGGGCCCTCCCACGTTTTATTTTCGCTTCTCATTCCTGACCCCTGCAACCATTTCTCTTTCTTCAGATGCCCCCACTCGAATATGCTTGGTATATGTGTTTGCGTAGGGAAGTAAGGTTATTTTGTGTGTGTATGGTTTTTTTCAACATATAAAAGGTGTTGTGCTATAGATCCTGTCCTAGTTAAGTTTTTTAACTCAGTACTTTGTTTTAAACTAGTATTTCTATTGCTATGTATACATTTGATTCACTGCTTCTTACACAGTATTTCAGAGTATATTCTGTTACCAAACTCAAGTTTAACTGCTTGCAGCTCAAAAGGCAATGTTTCAAGAGGCAAATGTCAACAGAAAGGAATGATGTTTTCATCAGAAAATCTGGAAATCTGGCAAGAAAGTACACTCATGTTTGAAGACCAACTCCAAAGATTCTGCTCAGCTGTGACAGTTTTTTGGGCTTCATAGATGGCTCAGTGGCAAAGAATCCACCTGCAATGCAGGAGATGCAGGTTCAATCCCTGGAATGGGAAGATTCCCTGGAGAAGGACATGGCAACCCACTCCAGTATTCTTTCCTGGAAAATCTCATGGACAGAGGAGCCTGGTGGGCTACAGTCCACAGAGTCTCAAAAGGGTCAGAGTCAGACACAACTTACCTACTAAACATCGGCCGTTTTTAAAGGAGAAGGGGGCAGTGTCTCAGTGAATCACGGAGGCAGGAGGTTCAGTTCCGCATCATTCTCCATTGTGTGCAGACTGGCTGACTCTTTCCTGAGATGTTATCTTGCCCACATTATTTGCCTACAGGATTTCTAAAGCTGCTGTTAGATGTAGAGACCTAGTCATTCTTTTTTTAAAAAAATTTTGTTTCATATTAGAATATAATTCATTAACAATGTTGTGTTAGTTCCAAGTGTACAGCAAAGGGATTCAGTGACACATATACATGTATCCTTTTCGAATTATTTTCCCATTTAACTTATTATCTAAATTGAGTGGAGTTCCCTGTGGTGCTGGTCATTCTCTAAACTGCTTAATTCTTCATTCTTGCTTCTTTTTATCCACAGCTTAGGCGAGAATCAATAGGTTAGGCAAGGCATGGTGTGCATTTAGGGGAGCACAATTTAGGAGTTAGGTTAAGCTGCCTAGTGATCTCATTCCTATGATTGTTATAGGTTCCTTTAAAGTTAGAGGGGGACAGAAATGGGCAAATAGGAAAGGGGCATAAGTCAGTTCAGTTGCTCAGTCGTGTCCGACTCTTTGCAACCCCGTGAACCGCAGCACGTCAGGCCTCCCTGTCCATCACCAACTCCTGGAGTCCACCCAAACCCATGTCCATTGGGTCGGTGATGCCAGCCAGCCATCTCATCCTCTGTCGTCCCCTTCTCCTCCTGCCCCCAATCCCTCCCAGCATCAGGGTCTTTTCAAGTGAGTCAGCTCTTCACACCAGGTGGCCAAAGTATTGGAGTTTCAGCTTCGACATCAGTCCTTCCAATGAACACCCAGGACTGATCTCCTTTAGGATGGATTGGTTGGATCTCCTTGCAGTCCAAGGGCCTCTCAAGAGTCTTCTCCAACACCACAGTTCAAAAGCATCAATTCTTTGGTGCTCAGCTTTCTTTATAAACTGCTGTCAATTCCCTATTGTCAAATATCATTCCATTTCTATGGGATCAGGGGTGAAGTTCCATGTTCTGTAATTTCACCATGCAGACACAGAGCACCATATTCTCAGAGTGAAATATGTCAACATGAGTCTGTAGCACCTTTGATGACAGTCTTAGTTGCCTGCTTACGTGTATTGGCAGAGCAGGCTACAGTTATTTTGATCCCCACAAGATACAGTTTATTATGAGCAATAATGTTAATCCCATTCTCTTGAAGCCAGTTCTTGGAATTGTGCTAGCCAGACATGCAAGACTTCTCAAGATGCAGCAGCTTAGGTCAGGGCTACAATCTGGTCATCACACAGTTTTTTCCCTCTGGTCCTAGTTACAGTATCTGTAAAACAATTCAGGAACGTGCATCAGACACTTTGTCTGTGACCATTGTCTTAATCATCAACTGCTTTTTTGTACTTAGTTGGGGGCGGGGGTGGGGCGGGGCCTGCAGGGTTCTGCTGGGTTCATCTGTGCTGCAGTGAACATCCTTTTTCATCTCCCTTCACAGATCTGCGTGAGCATTTATCTGGTCTGTTTCTCAGAGCTGAACTGCTGGGTCAAAGGGCATATGCATATTGAATATCCTTTACTTCTGTCACACGGCTCCTCAGAACAGCTCTACTATTCACACCTCCACTAGCACTGCATGCGGGTTCTCTCATTCCACATCCTCATCAATGTTTGGTATTACTCACCTCTAAAATGTGCCATTTTTGAGGGGTATAAAGTGGTATCTCATTACTGTTTTATCTATAATTGTTCTGAATACGATGATATCTAAACAGCTATTCAAATGCTTGCTGGCCGTTTAGGCTTCCCATCTATGAATTGCCTGTTTCTATCTTTTGCATTTTCTCTATTTTCCACTTGGGTTTTCCTGTCTATTTCTTGTTGGTTTTTGTCTGCAGTGTACTTCTTTGAGCAATAATGAGCTTTAGTGGGTTTTGAACAGGAATCCTTTATTCTGATATAGTCAGATTTATTATAGTTTCACTTTACAGTTGTATATCTTAGTTCACAAAAACATTGTTGTATATTTTGTCCCCTTGGTTTTACAGGTTTAACTTTTACATGCTTTAATCTCTCTGGAATCTGCCTTTATATGTGATGCCTTGATAGGTCTTTTTTATGATCTCTGACAGGAGTAAAATTGACTTCCCTTATATTTAGCTTTCTCTTCTGTACTTTTTCCATTTGGTAGAAGAGTTGCTAATGACAATTGAAATAGTCAAGGGCAGATATCAATGGGAAAAAACGGTGGAGAATCAAATTTAGATAATCTCAAACAACCTACTGTCATAAGTACTGTAAAAGGAGCACAAACTCTTTGCCAGGCTCTTTGTTCTTATTATTTTTATCTTCACAAAAACCCTTTGAGGAAAATATCATCATTTCTGTTTAACTGATGAGCAAACCAAGGCATAGAAAGGTTGTGTCTTGCCCACCGTTACATTTTGGAATGAGCTCTTTCTGAACTCAGAGCTTCTTCAACCACGATGAAACACTCTCAAATGCCTTCACTCGGTTTTACTTTCACATTATATCCTTGGCATTTATCAAAGGTTGAAACTTACCCAAAGAGCATTCCTGTTCTCGTCTCCTTTGCCAGGTAGTTTGGCTATTAAATTGTAAAATGTCACTTTATTTATTTTTGTAGCATCTGCCATGTGCCAGGGGCTAAGTGCTTGGGACTATAGCATTCAAGATGGTTCCTGCCCTCAAAGAGCTCTTTTAGCAGGACAATGGGAGGCTAAGTCTCTTTGCGGCGACTACTCTGGGCTCTGCAGTAAAACCTCCAGAGTTCAGATGCAGCTTCCTCTGTACTAGCTCTGTGACCTTGAGCAATTTGCTTTCTAAGCCTCATTTTCTATCTACAAAATTAAAATAATAATAGACCCAGTACACAGGGTTGTTGTGAGGATCCGTTATAATAATGCATACAAAGAGCTGAGTGGTGTGCTTGGTACTCTGTCAGTAAAATGATAAATACTATCATTTTTATGAGATAAGCCAATGACTGTAGTAGAAATGCTCTGATATAGGCATGCTCAAACTTGGGGGCTTCCTTGGCGGCTCAGACAGTAGAGACTCTGCCTGCAAATCCCGGGAGACTGGGATTTGCTCCCTGGTTTGGGAAGATCCCCTGGAGAAAGGAATGGCTACCCACTCCAGTATTCTTTCTTTTTTTTTTAATTTATTTTTTTTTTTGGAAGGATAATTGCTTTACAGAATTTTGTTGTTTTCTGTCAAACCTCAACATGAATCAGCCATAGGTATTGCCTGGGAAATCCCATGGACATGGGAGCCTGGAGGGCTACGGTCCATAGCGTCGCAAAGGCTCAGACACAACAGAAGCGACTAAAAAAGAAAATTGTGCAGAGAGAAAAAGTGTCTAAGTTAGATGGAGAGGAGAAGGTGGAAAGGATTTCAGGGCATGCTTCCCAATGGAGTTAATCTTCACATTTCCTTGACTAAGGATTATATGTTAGTTATTTTTAGATTTCAGTTCCGAGAACAATTTTCTCTCTTTGGACAAAATGGCATGCTCCCTCTTACTGGTGAATAAGATTTACATAACCTATTTATTTCCTATCCTGTAATGACCAGGAAGTTTGAAGTCAACTTTAATGCTTTATTTAATGAGATTATGTGAGCCTAGAGTTTGATAAAAATCTTTGATTATTTTTAACTTCCCTTTAAAATTTTAATACTGTGTTATAAAAGAGCCTTTTTCTTTCCAGGCACCATTAGTAGGCGAAAGGAGTTCCCATACAGGATACCATTAGATATGGTCCCCAAAACAAAAGTTAAAAGAACTGTGAGTGTAAAAGGTAAATTAACCAGTGCCATTTTTATTTCTTATTTCACTGTGTGTTTCAAACAAAAGTCAAGTATTCTCATGATTTCCCCATTTCTCCTCTTCTCAACTCAGTTGTATAGATAATGGGGGACTCTGGGAGTACCCTATTCCTGCTCTCACCTCCACTTCCCCAGGCACTTTCAGCTCTCTTCTTCCAGGGGCTTGATTTCATGGAGAGTCATGCTCCCATGGTGTAGGGTGGGAGCTGTCACTGGCCCAAAGCCTTCTCTAATATGAGAGTGCAGCTGCGTCCAGATTTAAAGGACTTTCTATGATCCAAGTGGGCAGACTCAGTCCAGAAACAGTTGCATGCCCTGCAAATGGCCCCAGGAAAGCAGCTCTGGGGCCATTTGTAGAACTGGTGTCTTTAGTGGGCTTTATCCCTGGCCTCCAGCCTTTAAAAATTCAAGGACTTATCATCACAATAATAGAATGTCCTGACTACATTTTATCTCAGATAAAAGCTTGGAGTCACAGGATGTTAGTGCTGGAAATGGCCTTTCTAAGCACGCCCCTCTCTGCTGTTGGATATGTAAGAGAGTGGTTTTCCCAGGTCTCGCGATGAGGTGTAGACAGAGCCCTCATAGCTCTCACAGAGTTCACAGTTCAGACTCTTGGCTTTGCATTGGAGAAGTGATTGATTCATAGGGCTTACAATACCTGAAGCTATCACGGTGAACGGCAACTAATTTGCCTTTTCCAGTATGCTATAATCCACACACTGTATTACACCATCTTACCTCCATGTTACGGTGGTTTGTTTATGCCTGGTGTTTCTTTAAATACAACTTCCTAATCAGATTTTTTTTTTCCTCTCCCCAGTTCTGAGAAGAAATTCAACTGCTTAGATTAAAAAGTAAAGAATAAGGAGGGTTGCTCTTATCTCCATTGAAAATATACCGTTACTCAGAAGTTGATAAAAACTGAGTGTATTTACTTTGATTTTTTTGTTTGTATGCTTGTTTGTTTGTTTCAGGACTGCTTATAGGCGAGATCATGTCTGCAGTTCTGAGTCAGGAAGGCATTGATATTCTTACCCACCTCCCCAAAGGGAATGCAGAGGCGGAACTGATGAGCGTCGTCCCAGTATTCTATGTTTATCACTACCTGGAAGCAGGAAATAATTGGAACATCTTTTCTACGAACTCATTAACTCAAAAACAGAACCTGAAGACAAAATTAAAAGAAGGTAAAAGAAGATCTGTTTCACATATTGTACATTAAAATCGTGTGTTTTTTTAAGCTAAAAGTTTGATTAAACTAATATTTAAGTTATGAATTACACAAAACCTTAGTTGTAAAAACATTTCAGCCAAAAAAAAAAGTCACAAGGTGGACTCTATTACACAAATAAATACTGTTTGCTGGAGCGTTTTGGCTTAACTTACTGAAACGCCTGGATGAGAGACAAGACACCTGCATTCCAAACTCTACAGAGCACTTCCTTCCTTCTTGAATGAGCTCAGAATGTTCTACTTGATAATTCCCAGTTCAAGCGACTCATATACTTCCTTCGAGAAGTTCAGTGTTGGCCACAGAGCACATGTTTGCTGCCCAACACCAAAGGAAGTTTACCTTTCCCAGGGGCTAATAATGCGTTGAGTAGAGATGGGGGTCACTGAAGTACTGTGTTCTTTTCCTGATGCCTCTTAGGGATGGTGAGCATCATGTCCTTCAGAAATGCTGACTATTCTTACAGCATGTGGAAGGGTGGCAGTGCTAGTACTTGGTAAGTAGAAAGTTTTGACTTGTATTTTCACATAGTAGTGAACTAAGGAATAACAACTTTAATGGACGCTCCATCCAGCGGCTCAGGCTGAAAAACCTAGTCATCTTTCACTTGCAAGCCTCATCTGGTCTAGCAAATACTTTTGGCTGCACCTCCAAAATATGTCCTGACTGCTGTTGTGTTGTTTAGTCACTAGTTCCCATCAGACTTTTTGTGACTCCATGGACTGCAGCCCACCAGGCCCCTCTGTCCATGGGACTTCCCAGGCAAGAATACTGGAGCAGGTTGCATGTCCTTATCCAGGGGATCTTTCTAAATCAGGGATTGAACCCACGTCTCCTGCATTAGCAGGTGGACTCTTTGCCTCGGAGCCACCAGGGAAGCCCTGAACTTGACGACTCCTCACTAACACCAAGACGCCACCCGGGTCCAAGCCATTCTCACCTCTGATGTGGATCGCGACCCTAGCCCCTCTGGTCTTTCAGCCCCAACCTTGTCTCCCCTTCATCTGTACTCAGCACAGCAGACAGAGTGAGCCTGTTAGACCATGAGTTTGGTCACATCACTCAAAATGGTTCAGAAGCGTCCCATCTTACCCAGGGTAAAAACCAGACTTCTTACTGTGATCTACAAGACCCAACATGATCTAGCGGCACCTCACCTCTCTGACCACATGCCCCACTACCCGAGCCCCACTGGCCTTCCTGCTGCTCTGTGAACATGCTGACCATGCTTCCACCTGAGAGCCTTTGCACTGACTGTCCCCTGTCCCCTCTCTTCTGGGGGACACTCTCCTCCAGGTGTCAGCAAGGGGGGCTCCCTCCTCTCCCTCAAGCCTTTACCGAAACTCACCTTCTCAGTGAGGGCTCTCGTAACCATTCTATCTAAAGTTACACCCCATTCCAGTACCCCATATCCTTCTCCACGGCTTTACTTTTTCCTGTTCTCCTAAAAATTTATCCCTGACATTCTCCTTATCTCAGTTACCGTCTGTCTGGTCACTAGAATGTAAGCTCCACACAGGCAGTTTCAAGTATCCCTAGTGCCTGGTGCTGTAGGTGGTGAGTAAGTACTTATTCAGTGAGGCATGATACCTTCCAAAATCCTGATGATTTGAGGGAAAGACGGTCTCAATTAACAAATCTGTATTGTTTTTGTTGTTGCTGTTCAGTCGCTAAGTCGTGTCCAACTCTTTGAGACCCTATGGACTGCAGCACTCCAGGCTTCTCTGCCCTTCACTATCTCCTGCAATTTGCTGAAATTCATGTCCACCGAGTTGGTGATGCTGTCGAATTACCTCATCCTCTGCAGCCCCCTTCTCATTTTGTCTTCAGTCTTTCCCAGCAACAGGGTCTTTTCCAGTCAGTTGGCTCTTTGCATCAGGTGGCCAAAATATTGGAGTTTCAGCTTCAGGATCAGTCCTTCCAATGAATATTCAGGGTTGATTTCCTTTAGGATTGACTGGTTTGATATCTTGCAGTCCAAGATCTATTTTCAGAAAATACTGCCATGCTTTGACAAAATATTTACTAAAAACACTGCAACAGGTGCTTTGTAGTCGCTACTATGTGAAACACTTCAACAGGTTTACAATCTAGAATGACTGTCGTTTAGATTATGGCCTTTAACTATTGAAAGTCCCCAAGGTTTCATCCTTGACCCTCATTTTCTACACTTGTGCAATCTCACGTTTGCCCATGATGTTCATAAGTCCTATGCAGATGATGTTCTAACCAACATCTCAAGGCCTGGCTTCTTTCGTGAACTCCAGATCCACATTTCCACGGGGCCTAGAAGCCGAAAGCCCTTCAAACACACTCCCTGCCAGATCCATTCTTCTGTTCCCCCGTTCTCTTCATCGGTGCACAGCGATACTCTGGGCTTTGTCCCCCGCTGACCAAGTGTGACTCCTCCCTTTCCTTCTGGCTGTACAGCCAGTCAGTCACAGAGCTTCACAGGTTGTACGTTAGATGTGGGTCTGACCCCGTGCGAGTGACACGTTTCAGAGTGTGGCGACCAGAGGGGAGCACCCAGGAGGCAGGGAGTGGGGGTTGATGCAGACTGGAGACCAGCGCGTCAGGAGCCAGAGACAGGCGTGCCTGGAGAACAGAAATCCCGCAAGAAGATGCAGCGGCCTCTCAGGAAACCCCTAGAGCCTCTCAAGATTTTGGGCAAGACTGAGTGCTTGGTGTTCAGTCAGAAACACACAAACACTTGGACACAACCACCCTAGACCCAGCTCCATGAGTTCCTAGAAAGACATATACATATACATATATGAAAACGGCCAGCACCTGAATACCCACCCAATTATTTTTAGAAATACAGGGAAGATTTAAAAAATTAGAATAATATTCACTTTAAAAAGAAGAAGGAAAACAAAATTTTACAGCATGGGAGAGTCAAGCCGTCTGAGTCTCGAGGGTTTCTGGCCCCCGCGCTGCTGAGTGAAGGGATCAGAGAGGAGGAGGGAGGCCTAAGAGGCACGTGGGGTCGTGGGGCAGATCCCCTTGGACCGTCTTTGCGGGACCTGAGTAGAGACTGAGCGTGCTGGTTTACCTTTGGCTGCGCCCAGTCGTTGAGTCTGCGAGCAGGCTCCATCGAGCCGCGGGGAGCGAGAGCTGCTCTCCAGAGGAGGTGCGGGCCTTCTCACTGGAGGGGCCTCTCCTGCTGCTGAGCTCAGGCCCTCGGGCATGCGGCCCAGTCCCGGTGGCACAGGGCTCAGCAGTCCCGAGGAATGTGGGATCTGCCGGGGCCAGGAATCAAACTTGTGTCCCCTGCAACGGCAGGTGGATTCTTAATCGCTGGACCGCCAGAGAAGTCTCCTGAACTTGCTTTTTGACTAAGTAATAATGATAAATAAAGCTTCCTTGAGAGGTGGCTAGTTCTCCATCAATGGTGTGACTCAAGGGGAAGCGAGATAAACACCCCCACGGGTATTAGGGAAGAGAATTCAGACCTCGGATGGGAATTTAGATCAGATAATTTGTACAAATTTTACAATCTAGAATTTTATAATTTTGCTCCTCAATATCTCATGTTTGTGAGTCAGTGCTTTAACTCTAAACTATTTGTTTCAACGCTATTGTCTCCAACTTTAGAGAATTATTTTTGTATCATCAGGCATCAATGTTCAGCTTGTATGCAGGCTAACAATGCTGCAGTCACAGAAGATGTGTTGCTTACATTTGGTTGTTTTTGGAGATCTTCCTGATATCTTCCATGATGTTTTGAAATAGTAACATCTTACTTCGGAATTGCATGTTTTAAAATGTTTTCTTTTCAAGAATGAACACTGTATGAACTAAAACACTGCGGGTTGAAAGCCAAAAGGGCTTCAGTGTCTAAATGTTTATATATTTGATTTTTGTCCCAAAGGTTAACAGCTTTTGCTCTAAGAGTACTTGGACAAATAAGTAAATATGTAGATCAGAACCAAAATTCAATTTGTAATTCTTTATTGTGGCTGCTTGAGAAATGCCAACTAGAAAATGGATCTTTCAAGGAAAATTCTGACTATCAACCTGTGAAGTTACAGGTAAGGAAACCAAATGCACAGATGAACAACAGTTTGATTTAAAAGTCTGAGTTGTGTTCTCGTTCATTTTTAGAAGAATGGAAAAAAGAGGGGAAAATATATGCAATCCTGCAAGAAACTTCTCTTGTGTACAGGCAAAGAATTTGAAAGGTCTTCTCATCCTGTTATTCAGATAATTCAAGATAGGTCAGATAAGTAAGATCTTAGACATTTGGTGTAACAGGTGTTAGGGGGTCACAGAGCACAAGTGCTAGAGCTCCCAGAACGGGCAAAATGGGCTCTTTTGTCTACAAACACTTGGTACGAAATCTGCACTTGAACCTCAAGGCTTTCTCATAGGTCAAGGCTGTAAGATGTTGTTGTGAAAGATGGAAGGGATCCTACGTACACTCTGTTAGAAAGAAGGTTAGAATTAATTTATCAAGAAGTATAACAAAGTATTGTTTGATATTGGAATCCACTTACATGTTTAAATTGCAAAATCTCTCCAAAATACTGCTACAGCATCTTCCACTCCTAGAATGTATTTTTTAGGACCCAACAGCTTTCATTTATTTATTTATTTTGCCTGCCCCGATCCAATCACTTTCATGTCACGAGCGGCCTTCCTGGCTGACTGGGGTCCCATAATTAGGACCGATTGGGACTCCCACAAGAAATGAGGGCAACTGACATCATCTAGGTGCTATTTGAAAAGTAAGATACTACAACAATTTTTTTAAAATCCTACCCATATATCCAGCTCTTCATATCCATTCAACAACCATTCACTGAGCACCCGAAACGTGCAAGGGCCTCTTTGGGGGACTGTGAGGGAGGAAGAGTGGGAAGAATGGATCAGAGAGTATCCTTGCCGCAAACGAGCTCACACACTGGCAGGGAGAGCAGGGTACAAATGCTAACAATTCTAAGCAAGATTTCAGTTTATGTGTTCATTCATTTATTCAATAAATATGTACAGAATGTGCCCAAAGTGCTACCTGGTAGGGATATATTAGTGAACAAAACAGGTATGGTCACTGAGGCCATGACGATTGTTACCATCTAGCAGAAAAGTCAGACATTAAGTGATTTCAAGTGTGTGATTCACATTAAGAAAAGATCAATATGGCTTCTTTGAAAGCAGGAGCTCTCACTTAGACTGGGGAAGTTGAAAAAACGATTTGGCCAGGTTCCTAGGAGCTAGGTAGGAGGGAGGCAGGCAGAATGTTCCAAGTAGCGCAAGCAGCATGCCTGTTATCTTGAAGTGGAGAGAGGGTGGTTCATTCAAAGAGCCGGAGCCTAGAGGACTCAGCGGTGAGTGGCACAAAATAAAGCTGGAGAGATGAGTAGAAGGTCATTTCCCGGGAGGTCTCAGAAACACTGCCTTGGAACGTCACTGCACTAAGAGGAGAAAATACGGGAGGACAGAGGAAGAATAGCGCTTCGCAGAGGAGGTGGCGTTTTAACAGGGTCTTGAAGGAGACGGTGAACTTGAATGTGGTGAAGGGGTATGAAGTGGAGCTCGAGGGTGGAGAGGTGGAGGAGAGAAGAGCAAGTGAAAGCATGTAAAATGCAGAGCTTTGAGAAAACGCCAGGGGTCCAGCTGGAGTGCATGAAGGGAGAGAGAGGGAGGGGAGGCCAAAGTGGAGAGGCAGGCCAGGTCATTTCATTTGAAAGACACCATTTCACTCTCCTTTTAAGACATTGCTTATTTTTAGGGGACCTTGCTTGTTGAAGCCCAAGAGAAGACTTTGTATCTTACAGCCTTTGCTGTGATTGGAATTAGAAAGTCTTTCGATATATGCCCCTTGGAGGTAAGTGTTTTCTTTCTTCAACACCCATTGTCTATTTCTGTACCATATTCAAGGAATGGAGAGGGGGATAGGACGGGGGGCTTGAAAATAACCTGAACTCCAGAATTTAAGGAATTCAGAAGTATGATAGATACTAAAGAGCATCTAGTCCAACCCACTCATTGACAGCTGAGAAAACTAGGGCCTGTAAGGAAGGTGAGTTTAATTGTCCCATGTCACAAGATACTGAATTGTAAATCTGTGATTAGAATAAATAACTTCTGATTGTGATGAGAAGATGACCCCTGTCCCCGAGATCCTACTCTTACCCCTGCTAACTCTGACACTACGTGTGGGACTGCTCTTTTATTACATGGAATCCATTCAGTTCAGTTCCGTTGCTCAGTCGTGTCCGACTCATTGCAACCCCATGGACCGCAGCATGCCAGGCCTCCCTGTCCATCACCAACTCCCAGAGCTTGCTCAAACTCATGTCCATTGAGTCAGTGATGCCATCCAACCACCTCATCCTCTGCCTTCCCCTTCTCCTCCTGCCTTCAATCTTTCCCAGCATCAGGGTCTTTTCCATTGAGTCAGCTCTTCGCATCAGGTGGCCACAGGATGGAACCACATGGAATACTGAGAGCTAAAGTGCGCTCTATCTCAGAACCGCTAAGGACACCCCCTACCATGTTCTCTGCCTGGGGTTGTACTGTTTCATTTGCTTGAAAGCTGAGGGGAGAAAGGAGAGGATCCACTTAAGTGAGTCAACATAGAAGATTCTAAAGATTAACAGAAATGAGATCCTGACCTGGGAAGTAAATTAGACCTGTCCTTCAAACCAGCTGACAGAACCAAGATGGAAAAACCCAAGGGGACTGGTAGGACTTGAACCACAAAATGAAATAAGTTTTTAGTTTAGTTCAGGAGAATTGTTATATGTGTGTGTTGTTATTGTTTAGTCACTAAGTTGTGTCTGACTCTTTTGTGACCCCGTGGACTGTGGCCTGCCAGGCTCTTCTGTCCATGGGATTTTCTAGGCAAGAATACTGGAGTGGGTTGTCATTTCCTTCTCCAGGGGATCTTCCCCACCCAGAGACTGAACCCGCATCTCTGCATCAGGAGGTGGATCCTTTAGCACTAAGCCGCCAGGGAAGCCCTAAATATATATATATATATTTATATGCATGCATGCATGCTGTCACTTCAGTTGTGTCTGACTCTTTGTGACCCTATGGCCTATGGCTTGCCAGGCTCCACTGTCCATGGGATTCTTCAAGCAAGAATACTGGAGTGGTTTTCCATGCCCTCCTCCAGGGGGTCTTCATGACCCAGGGATCAAACCTGCATCTCTTACATCTCCTGTGTGTGTATACACATATATATACACATGTGGGGCTTCCCGGTGGCTCAGTGATAAAGAATCTGCTTGCAATGCAGGAGACACAGGAGACATGGATTCAATTCTCAGTCAGATGAACACATATATATATGTGGTGGCACTAGTGGCAAAGAACTCACCTGCCAGTGCAGGAGACAGGAGATGCGGGTTTGATCCCTGGGTTGGAAAGATTCCCTGGAGGAGGGCACGGCAATTCACTCCAGTATTCTTGCCTAGAGAATCCCATGGACGGAGGAGCCTGGCAGGCCATAGCCCACAGAGTCTCAAAGAGTCAGACATGCCTGAAGCAACTTAGCACGCATATATATAAATATATTCAACAAGACAAAATAATCAACAAGGAACATTGCCAGTGCCTGGTGGTATGTGAGTGAGAGACAGATGCAGCTAGTGAGAAGGTGCCAGATGAGGAGTGAGGAGGATTGCACCATACAGCCTCCTCATCCACGTATCCAAAATAACTATTTCAATTGCCTCCAGGCAGAGGCATAGAGATTGTTTTCCCAGGAATCCTTAAGATCAAAAAGCACTTTGGCAGCTTGGCTCTTTTTTTTTTTTTTTTGCTGCTGATGGTTTTATTTAGTAAAACTTTTGAAAATGTGACTCTGTCTGAGCTCTGCTGGGTGGAACAGAATGAAGAAAGCCATGTCTATACTTGACGCTTCTTCTTCCCAGAGGCCAGGTCTGACATGGGAAGCAGAAACTATATGGAAAAACCTCTACCCAGGAAGGAGACTTCAGAAGCAAAAACTTAAACCAATTTGGACAATCTTATTTTCATTTTCCAGGTTACCCTCTGCTCCTTCTCCCAGAAGGATTTGCTTCAGGGAACCGTCATCCATTTCCACTAAGTCATTTCCCTTTCTAGTCTTGCCTGAAACCTGGGATGGTGCAACCTGGGGGTAGATCCCATCAGTTGATAGGTCAAATCTTGTCAAAGAAACTCAGGTATCTTCTGCTCTTGTTTCCAGAAAATCAGCACGGCTGTAAGTAAAGCTGACAACTTTCTGCATGAAAATGCCCTCTCAACCCAGAGTGCTTTTACACTGGCCATTGCTGCTTACGCTCTTTCCCTAGGAGATAAAGCACACCCACAGTTTCGTTCGATTGTCTCTGCCCTGAAGAAGAAAGCTTTCGTCAAAGGTATGACTTGTTTCTGACATTTGTTCAGCAAGTGTCTGATAAGCACGTGTTGAGTCACTCAGTTGTGTTTGACTCTTTGGACCCCATGGACTGCAGCACACCAGGCTTCTCTGTCTATCACCAACTCCCAGAGCTTGCTCAAACTCATGTCCATCGAGTCAGTGATGCCATCCAACCGTCTCATCCTCTGTCGTCCCCTTTTCCTCCTGCCTTCAATCTTTCCCAGCGTCAGGGTCTTGTCCAAGGAGTCAGTTCTTCACATCAGGTGGCCAAAGTATTGGAGCTTCAGCTTTAGAATCAGTCCTTCCAATGAATATTCAGGGTTGATTTCCTTTATAATTGACTTGTTTGATCTTCTTGCTGACCAAGGGGCTCTCGAGAGTCTTCTCCAGCACCACAGTTCAAAGTTCAATTTTTTGGCATTCAGCCTTCTTTATGGTCCAAATAAACATGTAGCATCTGCTAATTCTAGGAAAGCGTGGGGGCATGCAAAGTAGAGTGAGACAGAATCCCTGCTCTCAAGGAACAAAGACCTCACAATACAATGTAATAAGCACTGTTATAAGCCCTGCTATTCATTTATTTAGTCACTCATTCACCACATATTTATGAATTCTTTAATTCAACAAATGTGTATGGAGTACCTCCTATGTACCAGTCTTTGTTCTAGGCTCTGGTAATAAAGCAAAAGACAAAAAAAAGTCCAGGCCTTCATGAAATTTATATTCTGTTTAGTGAGAGAACATGATCAATAACTAAAACATTGCATATAGTGACTATTCAGTGATATAGTAACCTATTTAGTGATGACTGATATGAAGAAAAATAAAGCAAGGAAGGGAGAGAAAGTGAGGGGATTGATTGTAATTTTAAACAGGATGGTCAGGCTTAAGCCTCATTGAGAAGATGGTATTTTAGTCAAGACCTGGAGGAAGTGAGAAAGCAAACCAGTGGCTTTCTGGAAGTGTATTTCCTGATAGAGAAACAGTTTATGAAAATGCCTGAGGTAGGAGCTGGCCTGGTGCTCCAAGGAAGGCAAGGAGCTCAGGTGACTGGAGAGAAGTGGGGTGGGGGCAGGAGTGGTGTCGGAGAGGAAAAGGCGAGGGAGCGCCGTGCAGGACCCAGGGCTTCACCAGAGCCCTGCAGGACTCCTGCATGCAGCGTGTGATGTGCGAACCACGGGCGAATGGAGGCCGAGATCCAGCTTTTGCTCCACTGCCCCAACCACGCTCCCTGGTTTGGGTCGGCCTCTACGCAGAGCAAGCAGTGCCTGAGTCTGATTCACATCAAGGTCCTCTGGGGGCCAGTGGGATTCCCCAGAACCTTGACTTCCACTTCAAGAGAGAAGGGAAGTCATTGGAGGACTTTGAGCAGAAGAGTGCATGACCTAGCTTATATTGTACCAAGCTGACCAAAAGCCATATGTTTCCTTTTGAAGAATAAAGCCATTTCTTCCTATGGGTCAAGAGTAAAGAAATAAAGAGCAGTAGTGGTCGTTGGCCGATGTGCCTTGACCGGCACAGGCGTGGTTGGGCACTTATGAGCCCTCTCCTGGCTGAAGTTTCCTAAAGGTTTAATAAATACTACACGAGGTTTATCACCATCTACAAAATTGGACTTCTGTCATCGTTTAAAAAATGACTGAATCTCAACACATACTTCAAATCCACTTCTGTAATACTTTTCAGATAACACAAAAGAAATATCTTGGGTATTGTAAGAAATGAATCATAAAATAATAGAATTTAAGAGCTAGAAGGGAATGTATTAGTTCACATAATATTTGAACTGAAATTATCTTTAGAAACCAAAACCTTCATTCCAAAAAAAAACCCTTCAAGAGGGAGGGAAAACATTTTGTCCCTCAAGTCAAGCAAGCAAGGTAATTCTGAGTTGTAAACAGATACATCAAAATTTTGAGGTGGGGGGGATGTTGGAGTGATGGAGTTGGAGGTTGAGGTTAGCAGATGAAGAACTGTTACATACAGAATGGATAGCAACAAGGTCCTACTGTATAGCTTGGAAACTATAGTCCATATCCTATGATAAACCGTAGATATAGATATATAAAGCTTCCCAGGTGGCTCAGTGGTGAAGAATTCACCTGCCAGTGGAGGATACATGGGTTTGATGCCTGGGTTGGGAAGATCACCTAGAGTAGGAAATGGCAACCCACTCCAGTATTGTTGCCTGAAAAATCCCAAGGACAGAGGAGCCTGGTGGGCTACAGTCCATGAGGTCGCAGAGTTGGACACAACTGAGTGACTGAACACAGCGCACACACAGCACAGAATGATAAAAACCAAATATAATCTAGAAACTAATTTATGAAAAGTGCCACCTATATGAAACTGTCTTTAGGGTTTTAAATTGGGAGGAGATAGAATAGTTAAGGTTTGGGTGTGATCTCAAAATTTCCGAACTGTAGTTTTTTTTTCTATCAAGGAGAAACGTTCTCTAATTTTTTTGGTAGTGTCAATAATAACAATAAGTGTATATGTATATATATATCTGGCACTTTCTCGTTTATAAAAACATTCACATTTGGTATCTCACTTGAGTTGCACCGCAAGGAAGAAAACACTATCTACACTTCAGGGAACTGAAAGAATCACAGAATGAAAAGAATCCATCCAAGTTTACAGGTCTGTTAGTAGCCGAGTAGAGACTAGAGCCTGGGTACTATTAATAATTCCAGTTTCCTGCCGTTGCCATTCTACCATACAAAAGTACGTGTAGTACATGTAGATGTTCCATGTTGACTTTCCTGAATAAAGACAAACAGCCTTGTTTTTTTTAATTTTTATTTTTATCGAAGTATAGTTGATTTACAGTGTTGTGTTGGTTTCAGGGGTACAGCCAAGTGATTCAGCTATCTATCATCTATCTGTCTGTCTATCTGCTCATATTTAGATTCTTTTCCATTATAGATTAAAACAGCCCTGTATTAAGAGATCTTGTTCGTATTGGTCACCTTGAGAAAATTCTTCTTCCAAAAGAATATGAAACTTTTGAAAACCAGAAGGCCACTGCCAGAAGAAACCTCTAGACACCTGCTAGAATAGTTATGCCAAATTCACGTTTTTCATGATATTTACCAGTGTGATTTGTTGATGTTTAGGTAACCCACCCATTTATCGCTTTTGGAAAGATGATCTTCAGCAGAAAGACAGCTCTACACCTAGTACTGGCACAGCTCGTATGGTAGAAACCACAGCCTATGCCTTACTTACCAGTCTGAACTTGAAAGACATGAATTACGTGAATCCAGTCATCAAATGGCTATCAGAAGAGCAGAGATATGGAGGTGGCTTTTATTCAACCCAGGTAATGCTTCTTTCTCTCATGTTATCTTCCTGGAGATATTTCTAGTGCCTCCCACACCACATATTCCACACTCCTTCTGGCCTCCATGGTTCTGTCACCAAATGAGCACACTAAAGGTATGAAGAAATGACTAGAATCAAGGACCCCAAGGAACATCTGCATTGACACCCTTCTCATGCAGAGGCGAAACTCAGCTCCAGGAGGTTTGTTCACAGAGTTAGTGGCAGAGCCAACATCAGAACTCACACCTCCAAACTCCAAGCCCAGAACTTCCTTTACGATTCTTAGTTACCATGAAGGGCTAGGAGAGTTATTAGCAATTATATTAATCCTATATAAGAAATAGTCGCAAAAAAAAAAAAGAAAAAAGAAACAGTGGCTGCCATGTAAGCAAAAGCACTGATGTTCCTTTCCACAATACTAAATGAAAAGTAAGAGGAATACCAATTATTAGCATGTTTATCTGTCTACCTACCAATGTAAACTCATTGGAATATGTATATTTTGCATCATAACTACCATGTCGTTGTATAGTGTACATCTACACTCAAGTTTATCTCAAGTGTTAGCATCTTCCCTGTTCCCTGGATGCTTGGGCAATGACAGGGTGTGTGTGTATGTATATAAAATTTAGAGCTAGAGGGGTCCTTCAAGGTGATATCAGTGATCATCTAATTCTAATCAGGGGGAGGAAATGGGTTTCACCATAGGTGCAACTGGAGGCTTAGAGAAAAGAGGACACCACTAATGAGTGCTGGGAGACATGGGAGAGAAGGTAGCCACAAATTTGCTCTCTCTGATTCAACCACATCTCCCAATTCTGTAGATGAGGAAGACAAGATCTAGAAAAATTAAGTTCATCCCACTAGAGGTAAAAAGAACCTGCCTGCCAATGCAGGAGACATAAGAGACATGTGCTTGATCCCTACGTGAGGAAGATCCCCTGGAGGAGGGCATAGCAATCCACTCCAGTATTCTTGCCAGGAGAATCCCAATCACAGAGGAGGCTACAGTTCATAGGGTTGCATAGAGTTGGACACGACTGAAGCGACTTAGCACTCTGCACACATTTATTCCTTCAGCAAATATTTGTTGAATAACTACCATGTGCGTACCTGCTAAATGTAAGTGGATGCAAAGAAAGATGTACTGTTGCCCCCAGGAATCTCACATCGCAGTGGGGGGATGCCCGTGATAAACTCTACATAAAGTATTACCAATTGAGAAGAATGCTCTAAGGAGCAGAAGGGAAGAACATTGAAACAGAATCATGAGAAGGGGGAGATTCTTTATGTCTTCACTGTGGGGCTAGTTAAGCTTAGATGTGAGGATAGGAAGGAGATCCACAGTTGTGCGAGGAGTTGGAGGCATTCTGGAAAGGATGACTTGCCTGAGGTCACATGCTCAAGACCCATGGAGATCCCGGATGTGAGCCACACTGCCTTCATTCTTACTGGTGGAGGGAGACTCTTCTTCCCCCTCCACACAGGGGCCCTTAACTAGTTCCACTCAGTCACCTGGAGTTTCATCACAGGCGATGCTGATTCACCTTCTCACAGGAAAGTGTATTTGTAAACAGGAGGTATGTAAATGAGTAAACCTATGTTTGTACCTTGCTATTTGTTGATAGGATACAATTAATGCCATCGAGGGCCTAACAGAGTATTCGCTCCTGGTTAGAAAACTCCACTTGAACATGGATATCAAAGTGTCTTACAAGAATAAAGGTGACCTCTACCATTATAAGATATCAGAGAAGTATTTCCTTGGGAGGCCAATAGAGGTAAATAAAGAATTTTTTCAAGTAATATTTTATAACTGGATGGGACCTTCGAGATAATCTGTTCTGCCCTTCTTATACAAATATAACTGTTCAGCCCTTAAAACTAAGATGAGTGCCTACTATGTCCTAAGCAGGGATGCCTGCTCTGTCCTGGGCACTGAGGATCCAGAAGTAAAGCGCAAAGAACCCTTGTCCTGTAGAGGAGACAGTCATTGCAGCAAACAGTGAAAACTGAGATCTTTGCTAGGTTCACGGAAGGACAGAGGGGAGCCTCCTGAGCCAGGCTGAGAGCTGAGAGCCGTTTTTCAAATGCATCCAAATGGGCAGGATGAATCTGGAAGAATCAGAAGGAGTTAGCCAGGCGAAGAGAATAGCACACACACACTTGGACAGCAGAGTAAGAGAGAAGACACACTTGGGAATCTGCCAGTGGTTCCAGCCGACCCTGGACACAGGCATACTGTGGCCACACTGGAGATGGTCTGCAGGTCGCCCAACAGCCTATCCCTTGTCCGTTGCTACTACTGGGTTTTTAAAAATGAAAATCCTGATGGCCAACGAGAACTTCCCGAGGGAAAAAGTACTTTGGAAAAACTAGGTTCCACATCAGTAATAGTAGCTATCAGTAAATAGATGCTGATAGGTATTCTTTTTAATTACCACATTTTAGATTATTTAAGGTATATTTAAACATACAAATAACTGGAAATAGTTGTTACTGTCCATAGCCTTTTGTGCAAAGTAAATAAGCATGAGGAATAGTACTGAATGCAAAAATCTTTCCAGGTACCTCTCAATGACGACCTCGTCGTCCTAACTACTGGACAAAACAGTGGCTTGGCTACAGTGCATGTGAGTATTTTGTGGAGAACAACTTGATTGAGGTTATATGTCAGCCTATAGTAAGTAATCTAAAAGAAAGAGACTTTGCCACAAAGTTATGGGATCTGGACTTGGGTAACCATAACTGAGGCAAGAGTCATTTATCATTCTTTCTGGTTATCTTGATAGCTCGCCCCACAGTTTCTTTTTGAAAATGGCTGTTAATCTTCATACGTGTGTGTATTTCTAGAAATTATATATATGTATATGCATATAGGTGTATAGAGATAATTTTTATGCTTACATGTATATGCATATGCATATGATGTGTGTGTGTATGTATACATTCACACATATATACATGGATGCTGAGATTAGTAACAGTCACATCTCATTTATCCAGCATCACTCCTGACTAATGTGTATATGTAAGGGCTTAAGTGTCTTCTATTTTTAGCCACAGGCTGTATGGACACACATAAACAGTTTAGAAAATCTAAGCTGTAACTGCCAAATGCCTAAAATAATACAAACGACATATTCTGAGCCTAAATTAACATTAACATATTCTGAGCATAAATTAACATTCTCCTGATTATTTAATTGTGCACTCCTCTTTAGGACGTTTATTCCTTCAAAGACTGTTTATAAGATTGCATGCGGGTGGGAAGATGGACAGTCCACTGTTCTGTCACTTCTGGTTGCCCTCACTACACCTACTTCTGGCAGGAGCCCTACCCGTCCATGCACACGTATAATTTGTTGTTACCACAGTGGTTTGTGGGCTGGAGAAAACCATACTTCATGACCTTGAGATGTTCTATGTAAAATTAAAGTGTACAGGCACAAGGATGAAAGTCTTAAAAACTTTCCTGCAGAGTGAGGTGCTCAGATTTGACTGCGTGGAATTTGGACCAAGGTTCTGCCTGGAGAGAGATCATTTTTAGCTTACTTTGGGCTTCTCAGTTAGTCTCAAATTGTGGAGTTTGCCAAAAGTCCAGTTGCTGGGAAAATGGCTCTTTAATGCATCCCATTTGCACTGGGTGATAAAAATACTTGTATCCCATTTTCAGCCTCAGTCCTGCCATAATACCTTTTACATGCCCCATTTTAAACAGTCTCCTTGTTTACTTGTCCCAATACAGGTAAAAACTGTGACTCACAAGATCAGTACCTCGGAGGAAGTTTGCAGCTTCCATTTGAAAATTGAAACCCAGGAAATTGAAGGTAAAACAGCATAATTTACACTATAATGTTGGCTAAGCAAAAAGAATGCTGAAGAGCTTCTCTGATTAGGAAAATCTGCTAAAGTAATTTCTCACTCAAATTCTTTAATAGGTTGACATCTGAGTAAACATAACTGCCATTTATTATAATAGAGGTAGCTCATTAATAACAGTTGGAAACTGATACTAAATAACAATATCTAGGTTAAATGTATCCACTGTTGATCCAAAAATTGTTCTGACTAAAAAAAACTTTTAAAAATGTAACTAGGATCTAGAGAAGTGAGATGGGGTGGGTGTTAGAGAGGAGGTTCAAGGGAAAAGGAGACAGGTATACTTATGGCTGATTCATGTTGCACGGCAGAAGCCAACGCAATATTGTAAAGCAATCATCCTCCAAATAAAAATCAATTAAAAATAAAAGCTAAGAAAAAAGAAAAAGAACGTAACTAGGGACTTCCCTGGTAGTCCAGTGGCTAAGGCTTTGCCTGGTCAGTCCCTGGTTAGTGAACTAAGATCCCACATGCCTCCAGCCAAAAAAACAAAACATGAAAGCAAAAAACAAAACAAAACAAAACAGAAGCAATATTGTAACAAATTCAATAAAGTCTTTAAAAGGAAAAGAAGAATGTAGCTAGCAATAAGGGCCTAATTTCAGAACCTTGAATGTCTGTTAATAGTTTTATGTCTGTGCTCCATTCCCAAGCCCTGAATTTCTCTCATCACTCTGTTGGGCTTCTATCCCATACCCTTTCTGTATCGCTAGGAGTCTGGCAAATGCACATTTCCCTGCCTCTACCTTCAACTTGGTCTCTTTAGGACCAATGAATCTCTCTTAATGCGCCTGTCTTTTCTCTACACGTGGCCCTCACATCCCTCTTCTGATAGGCTGGTTCTCCCGTCCCAGTCTAGAGGCAAGGCCACTTGCACACCCCAGTCCTCCTTGACCCATGGCCCCGGGACCAGGGTGTGTGCTGTTCCTCTGCCCGGATAGCTTCTGTTCCTGCAGGGAAGTTCCAACTGCCAGAGAATCTAGATATGGGCGCTCCCTCCCTGCCGCCTCCCCCAGACACGCTACCGACACAGATCCACCTTAAATGGCTCCTTCCTTAAGTTCTTGGAGAGCAGAGAACTGCTCTAATGGTTTCAAACAGTTCCTGGACTGTCAGGAGCCAACTGACCACTCCATTAAAACCGGAATTTCCATTAAAATCATCAAAAGTGACAACTTCCCAATCTCAAGTCATTAAGTGTGTTCAGAGGCTTGCTCATTAATAATTCTGTTCTGACATGTTCCAGAACAAGCTAAAAACAGCTTACTCTTATTTTTGTTTGTTTGTTTGTTGTGTGTGCCAGCCTCCAGCTACGGCAGCTCAGAATACAAGCGCATAGTGGCCTGCGCCAGGTGAGCCCATTTCCACCAGGGAGACAGTAGATTTCAGAGCTTTGTGTCTGCCAGAGTATTCTCTCTCCAAATCTTTTTGAATGATAAAGATATCCAGAAGATGTGAAATTGTTCACTTTTTTTAAAATGTGAAATATAGCAGGTATTCTTAAACAGCTACTTACTCTACAGAACAGTTTTGTTTTGCTCATATACACTTTTTTCTCCCATTTTTGGCCTTTTTCTAATTCAAATGCTATATTATTAATTTGTCTTCCAGAAAGGTAGATTATGATATATAAGTATTAGGAAAAGAGCAAAGTATTCTCTCAGAAGCGGCTCCCACTCTTTTACTTAGAAAAATCACATTTGCCCAACAGAATCCCGGGTCATTAGCAGCCAGCCAGTGGTTCTCAAATCAGGTTGTACATTGAACTCATCTGGAGAGCTTTTAGAACTCTGCAGAATTCTGTCCGACCTCACACCCTGAAGGGTCTTCTAATGGTATCCAGGGCTAAGAACTTTGGATTACCCTTAGCAGACTAACTCCAAGGCCTAATTTGACCACTAGTTGCTACTAGTAACAATTTACCATAAATATAATGACTTGCAGGGGCTTCCCAGGGGTCTCAAAGGTAAAGAAAGAATCCACCTGCCAATGCAGGAGATCACCTGCAATGCAGGAGAAGCAGGTTCTAACCCTGGGTTGGGAAGATCCCCTGAAGGAGGAAATGGCAACTCACTCCAGTATTCTTGCTTGAGAAATTCCATGGACAGAGGAGCCTGGCAGGCTGCAGTCCATGGATTTCAAAGAGTTTGACACAGCTGAGCACACGCGCGCACACACACACACACACAAACACACACAATGACTTAACGCAATTGTATTATCATTCTGGAAGTCAGAAGTCCTCAAACCAAGGTGTTATTGGGGCCCTCTTTCTTCTGGAGGCTCCAGGGGAGCCTTTTCCAGCTTCTAGAGACACCTGCTTTCCTTGGCCTGAGCCTCCCTCCCTCCATCTTCAAAGCCAGCAGCACAGCATCTTTTAGTATCTCCCTCTGACTCAGACCCCTGATTCCACCATCATATCTGCTTCTCTGATTCTCCTGCTTCTTTCCCTTATCAAGACCCCTGTGATCACATTGGACTCACCTGGATATTCAGGAGACTCTCCCTGGCTCGAGAGCCTTACTTTAATCACACTGCAAGTCCCCTTTGCTGTTTAAGGCAACAGAGTCACAGGTTTGGGGATTAAGAGATGGACACCTCTGTGGACCATTGTTTTGCTTACCAAGCCACCATCCTAAAACGTTTATGAAAATATGCCTATATGCCTTGGTGATCACACAGTGAATCAGGTAGTGGAAGAGCCAGAACTAGAACACAGGCTTCTTCCTTCTTCTTTCTATCACCCCCTAAGACCTCCTGTTCTGTTCTATTTTCTTAATTCTTCCTATTCTCAACAACAGTGATTTCTATGGCTGGTATTTTGCTGTTTATACTTGTTATCACACATGATGCAAAGCATTCAGAATGGGTAACTTAGAGATTCCATGCAGTTATGTCATCGATTAGAGCTGAAAAGGACTTTAGGAACGATATAGTAGTCCCCTTATTTTAGTGGTAAAGAAACTGAGGTGCCAGGAGGTGAAGGACCCTGCCAAGTTCTCACAGTTAGAGGTAGAGCCCAGTCCAGTTTCTAAATCGCCTCCTTCCGGCAGCGTTATCTGAGACCGCCAGCCTTAAGGCACAGCACGCTGTTTCTCAGCTGCTCCACCTCATTTCCCAGCCCTGTCTGTGATCCCAGGCCAGTCCCTCTCCTCTCAGGGTCCCTTCATCAGCTGGGAAAGTCGCGCCTTCTGTCCTGGGCCAGTCTCTGCTCTCCCTCCACACCCTTCTTCATTCCCTAAGGTCCTGCTGGGGCCACGCTTCCTCAGGCAGCTGCAACGCTGCCCTTCCTGCGTTGGGCACCTCTCTTCCTGCAGACAGGGTGTGATCACTGTCTAATTCCCAGCATGTCTTGCGGGGAGGCATGAGCAAATTTGTTCTGGGCAAAGCTAGCATCTGTTTGTGGGACCTACAGGGAGGCACCCCGAGTGAACACAGGGAGGGCTGTGTGGTAGGATAGCTAGACACCTGGAAGGCAGCTTCTGCCATGAAGGACTCAGGTAACTGTCAGCAGATCACCTCACTTCTCCAGGCCTCTTCTGTAAAGCAAGAATATTGGACTACCTGATCCCAAAGCACCTTCCAGTATTTCTACAATGCTGCTATGCATAAAAGGACTCTCATCAAAAACTTATTAATTTGCATTCCATATTGTTAATCTATAAAAGAAAGCAATAGAGATATGGCATTCAGTATTCTATCCTTTGGGTTTTTTGTCTTTTTTTTTTTTTTAATAAACTGGGGACAGAATGTTCAAAAAAAACCAGGTAGAACATGCTTTTGGCTTTATGATGCTGAAGTTGGGTTGGACAAATTCCAAATGTAACTGTGTAGTACTTATCCATGTGAGAAATTCTTTGCCTTCAAATGCACACTCTCCTGATTTAAGAAAATGCCAGCACAGTTTCTATGTTGAGAGGGTCTCTTTCATGTATTTAGCTTTTTACAACTTCTCCGTTGTATTCACAAGAAAAGAAAAAAGGATTTCATTTCTCTCCTTCTCTTGGAACAAAATACTTTTGGGAAGGATTGCTGTCTTTGGCAGCAGGCAAAGGGCTTCTTGAAAGGAAGGTTTCTGTTCCACGGTTGAAACAGTCGCCATGGCAACCAGTCATCAAGGCTCCAGCAACTTTTCATAGACACTCTCCACTCAGGAGGCCCTTTTCCGTCGTGTTGACAGAGTATTTGCATCTGTGAGCCAGAGTTCTCCACTTTTGGTGACACTCATTCATCCAGTCACAGGGATGCTGGATGCCATATTTTCAGTTACATGTTGCCTTTTATTTTGTTCCAAATTATTAATTTGGTGAAGAATGGGGTTAAATTTTATAAGCCAGAAAGTTTATACTATTTACATTTTTATGGCAAATATGATATCTCAAACTTCTAACAGGGTCTGCTTTATACATGCTTGATAAGATATGATTGGGGAAAAGAGATTCCTTATCATCTCACTAATTTGAATAATAGCTCCCATTTCACTCATACTTATTTTGAGGGGTGAGATCAGTTCATCTTCCCTCTATGAAGCTGTTTCCCCAGGCTCTTCCTTTAATCCTGATTCCTCTCCCAAGTTCTACTCTCAAATGTTCAGCTGTCTCTCCCACATCTTGAGGCAGGAATCTAAAACTCAACCTTTGCAGGACACACTCCGATCCAGTCCCTACCCCACCAGCCTTCTCCTCTTTTAGCATTAACTCTGATTAATTGTAGCAACAGGCCTCTCTGCCTCTCAAAACAAAGTCTTGGAATTATAACTTTAAAGCACAAGTTTATACTTTTTCACAATTAATTTTACAAATAAGAAAATGAACTCTAGAAAGGGGAAGTAATTTGTAAAAATCTCTCAGCAGAACTGGGATAAAACCCAAGTTTCCTAATTCCCCATTTCAGTATTCTTTTCTCTCATACCAGAGAGGCAAAAACAAAATAAATCGAATTGCCCATGTTACTCCCTCTGCCTTTCTCCTCAGCTTCCCCACAAGCACAATTCCTAGACAAAGGGTAGTCCTTGAAACATTTTTTTTAAATAAAATATCTATTGTGAAAATTTTAGAAAATAGAGAAAAACATGGGAAAGAAAAGAGATAATCTCTTATGATCTCATCTTCCAGAGAAAGTAGCTGCTCAAGTAGTGTTCCTTCCAGTCTATTTCTGAACGTGCTTATTGAGTCTCTTACCAATATACAGTTAATTTTTTTCTTCAAATATGCTCTGCTAGAGAAAGAATTAGGATGAGAATCAATAGACTCATGAAGCCCTGAGGTGAACTAGTCACGTGACCTTGAACAAATACTTGACTCCCACTCTCAGTCTCCCCTAGCTAATTAAGAGATTGGACGGAATAGCCTTTATGATCTCCTCCAACTCCAGAATGGTGGTCCACCAAGGTTACTGGTCAAGTGAGGACAGGGTTGGGAGAGATGGCACAGAGATCGCTTTAAAATTCAGAGATTATAACACATATATCATAAAGAAGCAAATAACTGGAGACTCAAATTAGAAAGTTAAAGCCTACCAAGGAACAGGCCTTTTCTTCAAGAATCTTATCCATTTACTTGTTTCATGTCCTCATCTCTACCTTATTTCAGCTACAAGCTCGGCAGTGAAGAATCGTCATCTGGGTCCTCCCATGCGGTGATGGATATCTCTCTGCCTACTGGAGTCAGTGCAAACCCAGAAGACTTAAAAGCTGTAAATGTCTTCTCTTAAATATTGTTACGGATACTTGCTTTTATTTACTGCATTATTTTACAAAGCTATTTCCATTCATTCTGTATCACTTTCTTAGACTCTCCCAGAATATTCTTTTCAAACCTACAATCTACCTAAGTTTTTATTTTTCAAAGTGAAACAGGGGCAAGTATTATGCTTGCATGGACAGAATAATGTGAGTGCGTGTGATGACATGTTCAGACTCTTTCAAGAGGAGGAGCTGTTCTTCAATGTCTTTAAATAGTGGATTACATCCCCATGACCTCACATTCCATCACTGGGTGAATGCACTTAAACAGAAAGGTCGCGAAGTTAAATGTGAGCTTTTCTCTTTATTCCCTTAGCTTGTGGAAAGGGTGGATCAATTATTAACTGATTACGAAATCAAAGATGGGCATGTTATTCTGCAACTCAACTCGGTAAGTTCCACCTCTCACCATTTTTCATTTTTTATTACTATTTAACAGCTGCTGCCTAAAATATTTTGAGTCTTTTGTCTCTCATGATTTTCTTAATCTTTGAATTTGTCAAACAGATTCCTTCCGATGAGTTCCTTTGTGTTCGATTCCGGATAATTGAACTTTTTGAAGTTGGGTTTCTGAGTCCTGCTACTTTCACAGTGTATGAGTACCACAGACCAGGTAATCAACTCTACTCTAAAATTTCTTCTGAAGACTGCTTTGTATTTATTATGGAATTTGAAGAAAGGAACTTGAGGCCTGCAGATTTTATATATTTTCCTCTCTCAGGGCTCACTCTGCACAAATGTCCCCACTTGGACAACCAATGGGTGACTCTGAATGAATCACTTCACCTCTCTGGTCCTCAGCCTCTTCCTGTTTAGAATAGGTAAACTGGGCTAGACTGCTCCCACTTAAATTCTTCACCTCAAGTTTATCTTTGGTGTTTACTGTTCCCATTGCATCTCTCCTTTTTAGAGAAGGCGGTTTACCCTACTATTATTTTCAGTCTTCACAGAATCAGCTTCTCCTCCACCTATATTCTCATCACCATTGCAGAGAGCTCTATCATAGCACTTGTCACATTGCATCATTATTATTTGTTTACATGTCTTTGTGCACACACCAGAATATTTTCATCCTTCTGTCCCGAGTATCTAACCCAGTGTCAGGCACATAACGTGTGTCAATAAATGTTGAATGAAGGACCTCTGCATTTGATCATTTAGCCACTTCTGATAACTCTCCACTTCTGGAGAGCCCTTTGGTTCACAAGGCAGAAGACTTCACTTTGGACAGTTCTACTTGTTAAAACTCTTAAAAGTGAACCAAAACTCAGAGACCCATTCAATCTAGTTTCACTTCTGAAATCATAGATTATGATACTTAGCCTCTCCTTGAAAAAGAACTACACATACACACATACATATGTGTGTGTTTCTTTTCTCCTCCTGAACAATAGAAAAAAGCAAAACAAAACATTTTTCTTCTCTAGCCTCAATAATTACCAATTGTAATTCTTTCAGTAGACTCTCATGTAACATAATTTCTTCTCATTCATTGAAACACCAAATACTTTCATATGCAAGAGTAAGATTTCAAGCACAGAGCGGGGACTATTTTGAGGGTAGAGGGGCCTGTATTAGGACAGACAGCTCCTGATTTAACTTTCCTGGGCCTCGTCTACAGAAAGAGTGTTTGCAGTGGGCGATCAAGGAGCCATGGGCGAAATTCACTGATGGGTGAACTGTGTGTTCGCCAAGCCACCTCTTCTAACTGCTCTTTCATTGCCACAGATAAACAGTGTACCATGTTTTATAGCACATCCTACACCAAACTTCAGAAAGTCTGTGAAGGAGTGACATGCAAATGTATTGAAGGTAAACTTCATTTAATGTGTTCAGGCTGTATACTTGTTTAAAGCAGCCACTCATAATCTGGGGCTAATCTGGGGGAAGCCGTTTGACAAACTGTCATGTCTCAGAAGAAGAAATGCAATCTCATCGGATGGAAAGCTCATTCCTTGAGCGCTGTGAGGCTACATCTTGACAGCTCCAGAACAACCTGATGGTTCCTTCCGTGTGGAGAGACACCATCAGGTGGTGTATCATCAGAAAGATAGCATGATGTGAAATCCTTACCTTTGACCTGGTCTTTTTAGTGCAATAGGACCATTGCTTAAGGGAACAGAGGCTCTGGAATGAGCCACTATCTCCTCTTTCCTTCCCCTAGTCCTCCCCAGTTAGTGACATTCTCCATTCAATCTTCTGCCAATCAAGGCAGCCTTATTGGCCAAAGAAAAGCCCCAGAACTCAACAATAATCAACTGCTGACTCCATGAGGGTCTGAGTTGATTTTTATTTTCTTTTGTTTTTCAAAATCCTTAAAATTTACACATTTCTTAGGTACTTATTTCCTTCTTACAGCATAAATCAGTCATCAATTTGGTTCCTTCAAGAGATTTTTGATAGCACTCAAAATGGGGAAATGCCCTCCTTTCTTCAGTGAAGCATATGTATTTCTGGAGAGCTGAATGTGGAGTGACTACCCATTCTAAGCCCCATGTTGAAGATTTTGTTTTTTGTTTGTTTTGGTTTTGGTTTACATACTGTTTCACTTTATGGAAGAGGAGAAAATGGACAGGTCTTAGGAATCTGATATTTGTAAGATTAGATTGGATTGTCTCAGGGCAGATAAGAGAAAGCTGTGTTTACTCACAAAGGTGTCTGTTCCTTATGTTAACCTAACTTGTGCTGTCGTTCACAAAATCCAGCTGACTGTGGGCAAATGCAGGCAGAATTGGATCTGACAATCTCTGCAGCTACTAGAAAAGAAACAGCATGTAAACCAGAGATTGCATATGGTAAGTTCGAAAGTTTAATATATAGTTCCATTAAGCATGACATTTTATGAAAACATGATCAGTTAGGAAGATCTACAACTTTACACAGTGATTACATAGATGCAACATTCCATGTGCTCCCTTGAAGGAAAATGTCATCAATTTTCAGCATTAACATGCAAAGTTATTTATCCTTCAGCAAAGAAATATGATTTTCATTAAAAATGATAGGAGTGTGGTGCACACACAGCCAAAACACTTTATTCCACCAGACCCCATTGAATTAAAAGTGCTAAAACACAGTCAAAGAGAACATTTGAGAAGCCACAGAGGTATATGATTTCACTACTGCATTCTTCTGCTTGATCAAGCAGAAACAGAAACAAAGATGGTTTGGGGGGTCTGAGTGTTTTCCAAAATCCCTCCAAAGACAAAGTAAAAATATCAGTACTAAATAATCTTTAATATATCACCATTGCAGTCCACATTTGGGACTCTCTCCGTTTCAAAAGGAGCATCTTCTTCTTCTTGTCCAGATCTCAGAGCTAAATCAAATGCCCAAGTAGAGTTGTAGATACAAGTTCCTCATAGAATTAGATCCTTTATTTTCTATCTATAGCTTCTAATGTTTACTTCTGTCTTTTTTAAGAAAAAGAGAATGAACAGATAGTACACTATTTCAAACTTTTCTTGACAATTGGTAGGAGGGTTTTTATAAATAAATAAGTACAGTGCTGTTCATGGAGCCTTTAGCGTTTACCAATTGTTTTCATATATGGTCTCTCACTGGTGTCCCATGAGCCTCCTTGGAGGTAACAGTGAAGACACTGAAGCTCTGAAAGACCAAATAATTTGCTCAAAGTCATGCAGGAAGTAAATAATAGAACTAGGGTACATTCTGGCCTCTAGTGTTATTTCTCGTAGCTAACTCTGAACTCTATTAATGGAAATAACAGCCATGAGAATGAATCTTGTGTGGCTCGTGATCTTTCTTTCCTTCAAATTCATCTTTAGTTTTTAAAAAATGCTAAAAAGTTGCCTAACTCAGCCAAGACCCACTGCAACTTTCAAAATATCTGAGACTTGAAGAGAATTCTATATTGTTTTAACAATTTTCCCCTAAAATTTAGATCCAAATTAATTCTTTCCACCATAATAGAACAATTTTAACTCTTAAATATAAAAAAAAAATCTGTTTTAACACAGAGAGTACATGCAATCAGTATTTAGTTTACCACATTCAACAAAAAGCTTAGCAGGCTCTTTTGGAGCTACAGGTTAATGATGGAATCACAGAATAGAAACAAAATTAAACAGTTCCTTCACTCCGCCTATGCCTACAGGAGATTCATTGCCCATATATACTATAAATAATTAAGAATCCGAAATTTAGGACATTGTTTAAGCCACTAATTTACACAGGCTTTGGTTCTGCCACAGTGAGTTTGTTCATTGAGCTCTATGTCTTGCTAGCTAGCTCGGATCTCAAAAATGAACAAAAAATTTTAGGTCATTCACTTTAACCCCAAAGAAAGCAAAAACAAGAGGATTTTTTCTCAGGTCACAAAGAAGAGATGGACCCCTTCAAGCTGGTCATTTCAGAAGTGAAGTCAAACATACCATAGGTTAAAAATTGATGCCTGAATGAAGGGAAGACAGGCTTGAGAATGTTTCATATCAAATAGCTGTCAATCCAAGCAAAGATGAGTTGGAAAACAGAGTCCTACCAAAAATCAAAGATCAAAACCAATAAAAGTAATTGAAGAACGGAGCAAGGGAACACAGAGACTCTCATGACAGGTCAGAATGATAGATACAGGACCCCTCTGTGGGCATGCAGAGAAGGAAGAGGCTCTTCATCTTAAAAGATCAGAATCTGAACTTTACATCTAAGGCTTATTTTGTTTGTTTTGTGTGCTTTTTTAAATTTAATATTGCTCTTACCCTAATCAGCCTGTTCTATAACAGTGGGCAGAGTGACTCTGTGACTCTCAGCAGAGTGATTCCTTGGAGTCATGACCAGCAGAACCTCACTGGGAGTGCTGGGAAGCCTTCTTAGAAGGGAGGGGGTTTACCACAGGGCGCCCATAAGAGCTTGCTACACCTCATGTTTGTTTGTTTGACAGACTCCGGCTTCTACTGGACATGGCATTAGTGGTAATAAGCATAAATTATTGTGTGTGTGCTTTTTTTTACCAGCTTATAAAGTTGAGATCATAGCTGTCACTGAAGAAAATGCTTTTGTTAAGTACACCGCAACTCTCCTGGATATCTTCAAAGCCGGTAAGAATTCATTCACTAGTTCTTTCATTCAACAAATATTTAGTCCTTACTATGTGGCAGGCATTATATTAGACACAAAGGATGTAACTTGAATAACACAGTCAGAGTTCCTGCCTTCATAAAGTTTATATTCTATTCGAGGAGACACATTTTTTAAAAAAGGAAATAGACAAAATAAACAATCACAAAGTACTATATTTGAAACAGACATGGAGTTAATAGGGGAAATACCTTCAGAGTGATAACAGATGGCGTCTTTTAGGAGATGACATTAAGAGTTAGCTATTCTTAAAGGCGAGAGGAGAGGGAATCAGATGGGCAGGAGCTGGGTCGTACCGGGGTTTATAAGGCAAGGTGAGCAATTTGGATTTTATTCTAGAAGTTCAAAGGGTAGCTAATAAGTGGTTTTAGGTGGGCAAGAAACATTTTCTGATTTATGATTTTAAAAATCATTCTGGCTTCAATTGAAGGGAGCAAGAGTTGAAAGAAGGAAACCAGTTAGGAGCATCTATGAAGTGCAGAGCCTTGGCTCAAAGGCCATGCGAGTTTTGATAGGATAAATGAGCTTTAGTAACCAATACAATAAAATGAATTCATATGTAAACAGCACATAAAACAACAGTTTAAAATATGTTCCCTTTTATTCCCTAAGTAAGCTAACCTACAAATTTTATAAAATTGCTTGTCAAATGATATAAATGGTAAAACGAATGATTCATTAAATCATATTTAATTCCAAATAAGTTTTTGTTGGTTTGTTTTGTTTTATTTAGAAATTGTCAGTGTTATTTTGTTTGAGTCACTGTAGGGGGCCTCTGTTTGAGCTTTGGTTTGACAACAAGGAACCACATCGAATTTTTCCAGTTATGTCTCTATTGAATTGATAATCATTACATGACATCTAGCCTCAAAAAGTAATTTCTTCTAATAGCAACAGTATTGTGCAAAGTACTGAACACTTTCTCAGTTTCTGCTAAGCCAGCAGTAATTACATTCAAATGTTTCTAGTCTTTATGATACCAGCTAATATTTTCATGTATTTAATATATATCTATTATCAGCTAAATTATGAAAACAATTTATTGAAATGTCATGTTTAATTTTCCTAATTTTCTTAATTTTTATTCCCCTTCAACCCTCAGAGTTTTACAAACATAATTGACAAAGTTTCAGAATTCATGTTTTAAAAAACTTAAAAATTCATCTACTTTTACTTTCGTCACCAAAAGCAAAAACACTTTTATACAGTTAGCTTTTCCGTTAAGTTGATATTTTATTTTGTTCTATATCAAATGCATACCATTCTTCACTTTGTAACAACTCTTGCTTCATTTTCATATTTCCTTTACTTATTTTTATATGATCAGTTTTACCATTTATTCATTAATCTTTCAGCTTATTAAAGCTGAAATATTTTTTCTTGAATATCTAAAGGTAATATTGACATAACTGCTAGAATATCATACACAAATCACTAAAAAGTATATATACATATGTATGTATATATACACTTTCTAAATACTTACTCCTGTGTCTGTGAAAGTGAACCTATCAGGTGATGTGATTTATAAACTACCTTTGCAGTTTTAGCACTATTGGATGTCTTTCAACGTGCCAGTATTTTTCCGACTTTTATTATTGCAATTTTTGAGGTCTCCAGACTACTTCTTTATTCTGTCTAGTGTGTATTAGGTGTGTGGTTGTGAATATCAAATTTATGAAAACAGTATTTAAAGTGACCCTTGTTTGTCCTGTGTCTTGGTTGCATCATCTGGAGACGCTTGGCTCAGAAGGTACCAAACTGAAAAGCTGTAAATCTCAGGTTTTACTAAAGCCCCAGGTTTCTCCCTGACATCACATCTGTGCCAATAAGCAGTCGTGCAACCTTTCCTAGTGGACACCTTTGTTCTCAGTTTGATACGTGGTCCTTCCTGTGCCTGGATTTCAACAAAACCCACCGAGCCGGCGTCAGAGTCTCTAATGTTTCATTTTAAGTTATTCAAAACATGTTTTATATTAAATAGTTGATTTTCTAGAAAATGATTGAAATTTTATTACCTCGTTTATATTTCTCAAAAACTGTGTTCTCCTTTCAGTAGGTATAAATTTTGCTGTAAGTAGGACCATAAATCTAAGTTGTGGCACTTTGCTTTCACTTTTTTTTTTCTTTTGAAATGCTATCAAGTATTTCAGATCTGAAAATGTTTATTTTTAACCATACACTAGACTTTAAAATTCTAATAATACTTTCCAAATTTTTCTTTGCTTGATCAACACTCTGACAACATTTGTTTCTGACTTTTATTATTTCAAATGTTTCACTGTGTGAAGTTGATTTGTGATTTTTCCCCATTGATGATCACAAGTGTTCTTTATTTATAACATGATTGCCATTTTGACAAAATAGGTAAGCACTCTTAGCACTTTGATCTTTTCACAACCCAATTTTCAAGCACTTTTGCATCCAACATACATATCATAAGCAATAAGACATTCCTATTTTTACCAAAATAATCAAGTGCTTTTCATTCCAGAAATACAAATTACTTATTTTTGTACCCATTATTGCCTAGTATCAAAAGATATTCCAGACTGTTCTGAACTTTGTGCAGAATCAGATGATTCCCAAACTGTAGTTCTTTATTGCTATCATTTCTTCTCTGTTCTGTCAGTTCAGAAGACTCATGTTTATGACATTTAAAAGGAAATGTTAAGAAAGTTTTGCATACTTTATTATCTCTTCGTTCTGGCTCTTCATTTTTAACATATATAGATTTTTAATTTATATAAAATATCAAAACACCACACATTTACCACTTACACAAGAAGTGCTGCTAAAAATAAGCCAAAATAAAAACTAAACTATTTAGAATCAAGGGCAACTATGTAGTTCAAGGATAATGATGCTGTTATCCTGTGACTGGGGTTTCTCCTAAAATACAGGTGAGGATGTACATGAAAAAAAGAGGAGTGATAGTTGAGACTGAGGTTAATTATTCTCCCTCCTGAATATGCTTGACATTTTCCATAACAGAAGGTTTTTAAAAATAATAAGGACCCCCCGCTGACATGACTTGGGGCTGACTTGGCAAAGAGTGCTGGGAAGGTTGTTTGAATGTTGCTGCAACAGGAAGTCATGTATGAATGGTCACCAGCAGAGCCTAAGCACATTAGCTTGAACTAACGTGGGTGCAGTGTAATTTATTTTACTAATTAAAGTTTACCACTCATGCAGTTACTATTATGTGCTATTTAGCAACAGTTTCAGAAGTTTTTCAAGATTTAATAATTAGGATGACTCAGCCAGAGTTTCGGAAAAGGCAATGGCACCCCACTCCAGCACTCTTGCCTGGAAAATCCCATGGACAGAGGAGCCTGGTAGGCTACAGTCCATGGGGTCGCTAAGAGTCAGACATGACTGAGCGACTTCACTTTCACTTTTCACTTTCATGCCTTGGAGAAGGAAATGGCAGCCCACTCTAGTGTTCTTGCCTGGAGAATCCCGGGGAGAGAGGAGCCTGTTGGGCTGCCGTCTGTGGGGTCGCACAGACACGACTGACGTGACTTAGCATCAGCCAGAGTTTAATAACTGGATACCAGTCCTGAATATAGAGCAATGAATGCCCTGTCCTGGTCTCAAAAAGTTTCCAGCCTAGCAGAGGAGTCAGGCATGTGGAGGGAAACATTATGATAGAAATTCAAGTGTAATGGGAATAAGGAGAAAACACATACTTAGCACAAAGAGCACCACGGAATGTTTACTGACTACTGGGAGAATTGAAGATGTATTTAAAGATGGATGAAAGAAGGAAAGTGAAAATCGCTCGGTTGTGTCTGACTTTTTGCGACCCCATGGAATAGTTCATGGAGTTCTCCAGGCCAGAATACTGGAGTGGGTAGCTGTTCCCTTCTCCAGGGGATCTTCTCAACCCAGGGATGGAACCCAGGTCTCCCACATTGCGGGCGGATTCCTTACCAGCTGAGCCACAGGGGAAGCCCCTCAACTCTGGAAAGGTTCTGTTAATTCCTGGTTCTAACAAAAGCACTTAAATAGTGCTTACGTGTTCCAAGCACTTTTCATGTTTTAACCCATTTAACCTCACAGCAGTTCTGCAGGGTACGTTTTACTGTGATGCCCATTTTGGGGATGAAGGATCTGAACCTCATTTGTTCAGGCACACAGCTAGGAAGTGGCAGAGCTGGGGTTTAACCTGGGGAGCCTGATCCCAAAGTCTGAAGTCTTAACCACAGGGACAGTGCCAATAACCATTAGCCTGTCAATGGAAATTTACACCAAATAATAATAGCCATGAGGAACTAGAATGCTCAAAAGAGTTGAAAACCGTGACATGTGATAACCTTGCTTGTGTGTCTCTCAGGAGAAGCTGCTGCTGAGAGAGACTCTGAAATTACCTTCATTAAAAAGACAACCTGCTCCAATGCCAACCTGGAGAAAAGAAAACAGTACTTAATTATGGGTAAAGAGGCCCTGCAGATAAAATACAATTTCCGTTTCAAGTAAGTCACCACTATTTTGGAGTCTCTGATCTTCCATCCAAAACTGAGTGCAATTTATTCTTAAACCCACTACGTGTTTCTTTCGTGCCCTGCTGTTAATCCACAAACCATTAGGAGCATACACGAAATAATGTGAGCTTAAAACAAAGCACTCCTCAAAACCAGCAAGGCAGCTGAGGTCTCGCTGAGGATAAACCCACTGAGTGCCCAGGTCTGACAGCTGATCTGCGGGCTCATCAACTCCCCCGTTAGTGCATCTGCTGTCTCAGACCACTCTGTTTGTAAGAGGACAGTGTTTGGATACACATTTTATTATGTTTTTTTTAAAAATAGACATTGAAACAGATGTTGTTCCTGCCTTTAACCATGGGAGCCCCGAGCAGATCATGACCTCCAGGGTTTGTGGACCTTCCCAGGGAGAGGCCAGTTCAGAGGAGTTTGGCCAGCAGTCTGACCCCTGGGCACCTGAGCAACTTGGCTCAATTGAATTCAGCTCTTCTCTCTGTGGCTACCAACAAAAGTGATTCATTTGCATTATTCCTTGGCAGGTACATCTACCCGTTAGATTCCTCAACCTGGATTGAATATTGGCCTACAGACTCCAGGTGTCCATCATGCAAAAGATTTTTGGAGAGTCTAGGTGAGTTTGCCGAAGACATCTTTTTAAACGGCTGTGAAAGCACCTGAAGGTCAGCGGCATCCAGTTTGCACTATGGACCCCTGTTGTTGAAGTTTCTGCCTTTTTTTTTTTTTCAACGTTCACAGCTGGTCTTATTTGGAAAGTTCACTCTACTTAGAATGGGGGACACTTGCTTTTATTAGAGAACAATTTAAGAGCAGTAACTCTCCAAAACGGCGTGTCCTTCGGGGGCCTGGAGACAGACGCTCATTCCAAGGTTACTGGACACCAGAAGTAATAAATTGAAACCTTCCTGAAACCTACTGCTCAGGAATGCTTGCTGGGGACAAGGAATAGCCCCACTGAAATGTAGTATGTTACAAAAACATGGCCTTTGCTTGAAAGAAAATACCACGGAACAGAAAACCGATCATTAAAGCCTGACTTTGCTTTCAAAATGTGCGAAGAAGCGTGTTATTTTATGCTAGGTCAGCTGCAACCACACAAAGACAGGCAAATTGAGAAAGGTGGGGAAAGCCGCCCGGGGAAGCCCTGAGCAACCTGAGAAGGAAGGGCCTTGTCCTTGCCGCCTCCTCTCCTGTTGCGCTCTCTGGGCCCCCAAGTGGACCCTCTACTCCCCTCCGCGCCCTCCCAGCGCCTACTCATTTCCCCTGGAACTTGTTCTGGAAGGCAGGCCCCAGGGCGGCCACCTGGTGAAGAGAAACCTAGTGGAAATCCAGACACCTCTGCTGCACTCTAACCAGGTCTCTGAGCCCCCCTTCAGGATTTATCAATGAGGATTTCTAACAGTAGGCTCATGTGTGAATGATATTCTGCAGCACTTTAGATCTTATGGAAGAGTTCTCATATTTATTCCCAATTAATGTCTCCAGAATCTCATGGAGTACGAGAATTATTATTAGCCCCATTCCATGAAGACTTGGAGGCCGAGGACCCAAAGGGCTTTGAGGATGAGGAAATTGAGGCGATTCGCCCAGCCTAATAAGGGGCAGAGTGGGGAGACCAAACTCCAAGCCTTGCTCACAGTCTGAACACCTCCCTCTTCCACCTCACTGCCCCATCCCATTGCTTGTCAGGTTTAATTTCCTAAGACCAAGGCAGGATGTAGATGGAGTGTCTTCCTTGGCTATAGTTTAACTAGCCCCACTGAAATGTCACAAGGAAACACAAACCCTGGGTGAAATGGCAACGGTGACTAAAATGCATTCCCTTTTTGAGAAATCTGCATCTTGCCGGTTAGCCTTGTGAAGCTACACAAGGCCTTGCACTGTGCCTTATAAGTTAAACTAAGATTTTCCAGCTTCAAGGAACTAAGGATTTATTTTCGTTAATGTCAGAGCTCACGTTGAAGGCACTCCCTTGGCAAAAACAACCCTGGTGCCCAGTATGCCCAAACTCGCTGCCAACGAGGGGTGGGGGCCCCCAGAGCAGGTCTGTGGTGCCCCCAGCACCTTCTCGCTGAAGCCCGGGCGGCAGCCCCTCCCCGAGTCCCCGCCTCTCTGCCTTCTCCTTGAGAACGGTTTCAAGGAGGCCGGCCACAGCGGCCTAATTAACTCACAAAGCCACTGAACTTCCAAATTCAAAGCAGGCCTTTGTGAGTGAGCCTGGCTCCACTGAAAAACCCACCATCCCCTCTTCAGCAAACTCCTAAGGACTTAAACATACTTCCTTGGCGAGGCTTTTGTGGCCGTGCTCACGGCTGGGGCCCCTCCTCAGCCCCGTGCTCCTCTCCTAAGGCACTTGCCATTGTTTGCTTACTCATGTACAGTTGTTTGGAGTGCGGCTTCCGGGCTTCACCGGCAGCTCCGTGTGGGCAGAGTCTGGGTCCCCTCTCTACTGCCATCTCCTGTGCCTGGCTTCATGCCGAACACCGAACACATCTGAGGGACTCAACAAGTGGCGGATTCTAACCCAGGCAGGGGTTTGGGACAAGCCTCTTCATCTTTCTGATGGCCTGTGAATCAAGGGAGTCGAACACCTTAATGCCTCTTTTATCTAGAGCCCCCAGAAGAAATGTTATAGTCTTTTGTTATGAAACGGAAAGCAAGCCTACATGGCATGTGAGTGTCCACATGTCAGGTATGTATTTCTGCCCTAAAGGTAATGGGAGCTCAGGGAAGGGAATGAGCAGATGAGCTGGAGGACTTTTGTTTTTGTTGTTTTTTTTTTTTTTTAATTTATTTATTTTTTTTCATTTATTTTTATTAGTTGGAGGCTAATTACTTTACATCATTGCAGTGGTTTTTGTCATACAGTGAAATGAATTAGCCATGGATTTACATGTATTCCCCATCCCGGTCCCCGCTCCCACCTCCCTCTCCACCCGATCCCTCTGGGTCTTCCCAGTGCACCAGGCCCGAGCACTTGTCTCATGCACCCAACCTGGGCTGGTGATCTGTTTCACCCTAGATAATATACATGTTTCGATGCTGTTCTCTTGAAACATCCCACCCTCGCCTTCTCCCAGAGTCCACAAGTCTGTTCTATACATCGGAGTCTCTTTTTCTGTTTTGCATATAGGGTTATCGTTACCATCTTTCTAAATTCCATATATATGTGTTAGTATACTGTAATGGTCTTTATCTTTCTGGCTTACTTAGCTCTGTATAATGGGCTCCAGTTTCATCCATCTCATTAGAACTGAGTCAAATGAATTCGTTTTAATGGCTGAGTAATATTCCATGGTGTATATGTACCACAGCTTCCTCATCCATTCGTCTGCTGATGGGCATCTAGGTTGCTTCCATGTCCTGGCTATTATAAACAGTGCTATGATGAACATTGGGGTGCACGTGTCTCTTTCAGATCTGGTTTCCTCGGTGTGTATGCCCAGAAGTGGGATTGCTGGGTCATATGGCAGTTCTATTTCCAGCTTTTTAAGAAATCTCCACACTGTTTTCCATAGTGGCTGTACTAATTTGCATTCCCACCAACAGTGTAAGAGGGTTCCCTTTTCTCCACACCCTCTCCAGCATTTATTGCTTGTAGACTTTTGGATAGCAGCCATCCTGACTGGTGTGTAATGGTACCTTATTGTGGTTTTGATTTGCATTTCTCTGATAATGAGTGATGTTGAGCATCTTTTCATGTGTTTGTTAGCCATCTGTATGTCTTCCTTGGAGAAATGTCTGTTCAGTTCTTTGGCCCATTTTTTGATTGGGTCATTTATTTTTCTGGAGTTGAGCTGGAGGAGTTGCTTGTATATTTTTGAGATTAATCCTTTGTCTGTTGCTTCATTTGCTATTATTTTCTCCCAATCTGAGGGCTGTCTTTTCACCTTGCTTATAGTTTCCTTTGTTGTGCAAAAGCTTTTAAGTTTCATTAGGTCCCATTTGTTTATTTTTGCTTTTATTTCTAAAATTCTGGGATGTGGGTCATAGAGGATCCTGCTGTGATTTATGTCGGAGAGTGTTTTGCCTATGTTCTCCTCTAGGAGTTTTATAGTTTCTGGTCTTACATTTAGATCTTTAATCCATTTTGAGTTTATTTTTGTGTATGGTGTTAGAAAGTGTTCTAGTTTCATTCTTTTACAGGTGGTTGACCAGTTTTCCCAGCACCACTTGTTAAAGAGGTTGTCTTTTTTCCATTGTATACCCTTGCCTCCTTTGTCGAAGATAAGGTGACCATAGGTTCGTGGATTTATCTCTGGGCTTTCTATTCTGTTCCATTGATCTATATTTCTGTCTTTGTGCCAGTACCATACTGTCTTGATGACTGTGGCTTTGTAGTATAGTCTGAAGTCAGGCAGATTGATTCCTCCAGTTCCATTCTTCTTTCTCAAGATTACTTTGGCTATTCGAGGTTTTTTGTATTTCCATACAAATTGTGAAATTATTCGTTCTAGTTCTGTGAAAAATACCGTTGGTAGTTTGATAGAGATTGCATTGAATCTATAGATTGCTTTGGGTAGTATAGCCATTTTGACAATATTGATTCTTCCAATCCATGAACACGGTATATTTCTCCATCTGTTTGTGTCCTCTTTGATTTCTTTCATCAGTGTTTTATAGTTTTCTATGTATAGATCTTTTGTTTCTTTAGGTAGATATACTCCTAAGTATTTTATTCTTTTTGTTGCAATGGTGAATGGTATTGTTTCCTTAATTTCTCTTTCTGTTTTCTCATCGTTAGTGTATAGGAATGCAAGAGATTTCTGTGTGTTAATTTTATATCCTGCAACTTTACTGTATTCGTTGATTAGCTCTAGTAATTTTCTGGTAGAGTCTTTAGGATTTTCTATGTAGAGGATCATGTCATCTGCAAACAGAGAGAGTTTCACTTCTTCTTTTCCTATCTGGATTCCTTTTATTTCTTTTTCTGCCCTGATTGCTGTGGCCAAAACTTCCAAAACTATGTTGAATAGTAGTGGTGAGAGTGGGCACCCTTGTCTTGTTCCTGATTTCAGGGGAAATGCTTTCAATTTTTCACCATTGAGGGTGATGCTTGCTGTGGGCTTGTCATATATAGCTTTTATTATGTTGAGGTATGTTCCTTCTATTCCTGCTTTCTGGAGAGTTTTAATCATAAATGGATGTTGAATTTTGTCAAAGGCTTTTTCTGCATCTATTGAGATAATCATATGGTTTTTATCTTTCAATTTGTTAATGTGGTGTATTACATTGATTGATTTGCGGATATTAAAGAATCCTTGCATTCCTGGGATAAAGCCCACTTGGTCATGATGTATGATTTTTTTAATATGTTGTTGGATTCTGTTTGCTAGAATTTTGTTAAGGATTTTTGCATCTATGTTCATCAGTGATATTGGCCTGTAGTTTTCTTTTTTTGTGGCATCTTTGTCTGGTTTTGGAATTAGGGTGATGGTGGCCTCATAGAATGAGTTTGGAAGTTTACCTTCTTCTGCAATTTTCTGGAAGAGTTTGAGTAAGATAGGTGTTAGCTCTTCTCTAAATTTTTGGTAGAATTCAGCTGTGAAGCCATCTGGTCCTGGCTTTTGTTTGCTGGAAGATTTCTGATTACAGTTTCGATTTCCTTGCTTGTGATGGTTTTGTTAAGATCTTCTATTTCTTCCTGGTTCAGTTTTGGA